TTTTTTTTTTTGACAGAGTGGACAGTGAGAGAGACAGAGAGAAAGGTCTTCCTTTTGCCGTTGGTTCACCCTCCAATGGCCGCCGCGGCCGGCGTGCTGTGGCTGGCGCACTGCACTGATCCGATGGCAGGAGCCAGGTGCTTTTCCTGGTCTCCCATGGGGTGCAGGGCCCAAGCACCTGGGCCATCCTCCACTGCACTCCCAGGCCACAGCAGAGAGCTGGCCTGGAAGAGGGGCAACCGAGACAGAATCCGGCGCCCCGACCGGGACTAGAACCCTGTGTGCTGGTGCCACAAGGCAGAGGATTAGCCTAGTGAGCCGCGGCGCTGGCCTCTTTGGACTTCTTAATACACCAGGCCTCAAAGATTATTCCTCAAACGACTGCATAAATGACCAGGAAGACTAAGTCTGGGGAGTGTGTTTCATCAGCAGACTCATCTCTGTGTGGTTTTCTTGGGTAGGTTTTTGTGTTCGTACCTAATGCTGCTCTATGCAGATAGCGGTTCTTCTCACAGTGAACTTCACTTGGTGAGCTCCCCTTTTAGTCCTGTATATTGCGAGAATAAGTAACTGAGTCCAGGTTTGGAAACCTGTAAGTGATTATGAGGGGAAGGGTCTTGTCATGTGAGGAATCATCTTACTTGGATAAATGGCAGCAAGTTTATAGAGTTACTTTCTGTTCTTGCCCGTTCACAAGATGCCCTGGACTTAGACTGAATATCACAAACATTTATTTGCATCAGAGAACTCAAAGGAAGCTCAGCTCAAAGGAAGGTAAATCTGGTCTGAAGAACCTTGCTATATTATTTCTGATTCACAGGAGTTCTGCTCAGGTGAAATCTTAATGGGTCTGAAAAGAGAATGCTATGATAGGAGAATTAATTTGGATCACCATGGTAAAAGTTTGCAGTGGACAAGTAGAATTTGTAATGCCCTTTGTAGACCCAAAATGGAATTGAATTTTTTGAACATGCCTTAGAATAGCTTTGACAAAAGAAAGATCTGGGTTTTGTTTTTCTCTGGCTTCTGTTTCTGGACTTCTGAAAACAACTATGGTTTCAGATAAAGAAAGAAAAAATCCAAAGCCTTTAAGAATAGTAAAGTTAACCTATGCACAGAAAGATTTGTAAGATGAGCACCTCTTCATTTTTTTTTTTAAGCTGGGTCCCGAAAGACCATATGTATTATTTTTATTTAGTAAAAGACAGTAACAGAAGTGGTCAGTTTCCTGCTTTTCTCTTCCAAGGCAGGTTGGGGTGAGTGCTAATAGGAGAGGAGCAGCCTGGCTTACTTAGTGTGACCATGGCTCTCCTTTGCTTTTCTAGTGCTAGTTGTTGTCTACTGCTGTGTCAGGAAAATCTGCTTAGCCTAAGTATTGTAAACTTAGCATTGTGAACATGGCAACAATTGTTCTAAGCCTCTGAGCTGGCCACAAACCCCCAAGTTAAGGATTTACCACCAAGAATTTATGATTAGGGAAAAACTTAACCAAAGGTATCTTTTTTTTTTTTTTTTTAGATTTTTTTTATTTATTTGCAAGTCAGAAAGGGAGGGAAAAAGAAAATCTTCCATCTTCTGGCTCACTCCCCAGATGACCTCAATGGCTAGGCTGAAGCCAGGAAGCAGGAGAGTCATTCAAGTCTCCCATGTTAGTGGCAGGAGCCCAAGCACAAGCACTTGGGCCATCTTCCGCTGCTTCCCCAGACCATTAGCAGGAAGCCGAATTGGAAGTGGAGCAGTGTGGACACCAACCAGTGCCCATTTGGGGTTCCAGCATTTCAGGCAGTGGCTTCACCCACTATGCCACAATGCCAAAACAGTGATTGCTTGATTGATTGATTGATTGATTTCTTTCTTTCTTTCTTTTTTTTTTTTTTTTACAGGCAGAGTGGACAGTGAGAGAGAGACAGAGAGAAAGGTCTTCCTTTGCCATTGGTTCACTCTCCAATGGCCGATGCAGCCAGCGCACCGCGCTGATCCAAAGGCAGGAGCCAGGTACTTCTCCTGGTCTCCCATGGGGTGCAGGGCCCAAGCACTTGGGCCATCCTCCACTGCACTCCCGGGCCATAGCAGAGAGCTGGCCTGGAAGAGGGGCAACCGGGACAGAATCCGGTGCCCCGACCAGGACTATAACCCGGTGTGCCGGCGCTGCAAGGCAGAGGATTAGCCTAGTGAGCCGCGGCGCCGGCCTGATTTCTTTCTTTTTTAAAGTGCAAAGATTATAATTTTTTTAGAAAACTTTTATTTAATAAATATAAATTTTGAAAGTACAACTTTGGATTATAGCAGCTTTTTCCCCCATAACCACCCTCTCACCCGCAAACCATCCCATCTCCTACTCCCTCTCCCATCCTATTCTTCATTAAGATTCATTTTTAATTATCTTTATATACAGAAGATGAACTTAGTATGTACTAAGAAAGATTTCAACAGTTTGCACCCACACAGACACACAAAGTATAAAGTACTGTTTGAAGTCTAGTTTTACCGTTAATTCTCATTGTACAACACATTGAGGACAGAGATCCTACATAGGGAGTAAGTGCACAGTGACTCCCGTTGTTGATTTAACAGTTGACACTCTTTATGACGTCAGTAATCACGTGAGGAGGGATTGATTTCTAAACTAATACTGCTATCCTTTACAGAAATTCTTCAGAGTTATATGCTTAGCTCTTCTCGAGTATTGAATATATTGTATCTATCTACAGCATCAACTGTTACCTCTCTACTGATGACTACTAACTCTGTATCTCTTGATTTTTCACGTACTTGCAGCCCAAATTACCTAGCTGTCGCCCACATTTTATGTTTAAGTCTCTCCACACATCTCGCTTATGTATTGCTCTCTCTCCCTGTCCTTCCTGCTCCCCCCCCACCTGTGCTTTCCCATTACTGCCTGTGTTAAGGATAATGTAGTTAATGACACCTCCGCCTTCATCCTTATGAAGGTTCCCAGTCTAAGCATCACTGTTAGCTTGTTGCTCTCCTTTAAATGGTAGCTAAATTATTAGTTACCAAGCATTCTTCCTCCACACTAAATTCTCTCTGTTCCTTTTCTGGAAACTACCTTGATTATGTGTACCCATTATCTTCTTATCTCTGCAAATAGTATGTGAAGTAGGGAGTCACTGGCTCTCATGTTGCATGCATGAGTTAGACATGAAGAATTTAATTGACTTTTCAAACAGCAGGGAAATGCTGGGGCAGGGATTTGAGGCTGCATAGCTTTAAAGTCCAGGATCTTTCCAGTAAGCCCTCTTTGACCTGGCGTGCAGGATCCTTTTCTTCCTGTCTATGCATTCTTTGTTCCAGGGTTTGACTTTCATTTTGGGCTATCTTGTGGTATCCATACGTGAAAACATTTCCAGTCGTGTGAGCTGGTCATGTTTCAAGCCTTTGCCCTCACTGGGTGGCCTTTCTGGAACCAGATGCTTGGCGAACTCCTTTTCTTCAAGCAGCCGCTCAAGGGTCATTGCTCTGTAGCCTTCCGGTCACTTCCAGGGAACTGCCGCAGATATTGGTGGATGCGGTTGACTATTTTCCCCTCTGTTCTGACTCTGAAGGGGATCTCCTTGAGAGCAGACCCTTTTGTCTTTCTCTTTCTGTTAGTCGTAACTAATTTTGAGCTGATAAAGGCATTCTTACTAAAGAAGATGCATGCAATATTTTACACCCAATCTGAAGGAAACTCTAACTGTAGAGTTAATCTTGTAGAATTGTTTGGCACATACCTGGCTTATTTATGCATTTGTTGAAGGTGTACCAAATGGGGGATGAAAAATTGTAATGGCACATCACCAGGCTCTCAGTGAAAGGTTTTTATTGTTGTTAAGATTTATCTGTTTATTTGGGCCGGCGCTGCGGCTCACTAGGCTAATCTTCCGCCTGCAGTGCCGGCACACCAGGTTCTAGACCCAGTCAGGGCGCCGGATTCTGTCCTGGTTGCCCCTCTTCCAGGCCAGCTCTCTGCTATGGCCCGGGAGTGCAGTGGAGGATGGCCCAAGTGCTTGGGCCCTGTACCCGCATGGGAGACCAGGAGAAGCACCTGGCTCCTGCCTTCGGATCAGCGCAGTGTGCTGGCCGCGGTGGCCATTGGAGGGTGAACCAACGGCAAAGGAAGACCTTCCTCTCTGTCTCTCTCTCACTGTCCACTCTGCCTGTTTAAAAAAAAAAAAAAAAGATTTATCTGTTTATTTGAAAGGCAGAATTAGAGAGAGAGAGAGAGAGAGAGAAGGGAGAGGAGTCAATCTTCCCTCTGCTGGTATGCTCTCCAAACAGCCGTAACAGCTGAGGCTGAGCCAGGCCAAAGCCAGGAGCTGGAATTTCAAACAGGTCTCCCACGTGGTTGCGAGGGCCCAAGGACTTGGATCATCTTCAGCTGCTTTCCCAGGCCATTAGCAGGGAGCTGGAACGGAAGTGGAGCAGCTGGGACTCTTAACCAGTGTCCGTATGGTTATGATTATGCCACTGCCTGCACCACACCAGCCCCAGTGAAAGGTTTTGATAATGATGTCCTCGAAGAGTACTTGCCACTCCGTAGGAAGTCAGCATCTGTTTGTTTAATTAATAAATGAAGAATCAATTAATTTGCCTTTATTGAAATACTAAAAAGTCCAAGTTTGTGATACAGTTTTTTTTCTCCTGTATTGATACACTGTTAAATTTGTAACCTTGAAGGAAAAAATTCAGAAAACCAAATTATTCATGATGATCTGCATTCTTTCTTTGAGAAGGCACATTGTTATAGATGCTTGTGTACATCTGTCTGGTAAATGCTTCCTGATGTAATTTTTAAAAACGTATTAAAAACTCCCCTAATACTTTGTTTTATGTGTGTTGATGAATTATCCCTCAAAAGAGGTTCATTGCAATAGCTTAGTAAATGTTTGTAAAGTGAGTGGTTTCCTCTTTTATGTGTTTGTTTTATTGTATTATCCTTTCCTTTTAATGTAACTCGCCCTTACCCCTTATCCTTCACACCTTTTTTGTTTTTGCAGTATCTCTTGCTCCTCCTCCTCCCTCCATCCTACAGGTAACTCCTCAGTTACCTTTAATGGGATTTGTGGCCAGAGTCCAAGAAAATAGTAAGTTTATGTCTTCTTTATGCTGTAGATCAGACTGTAGGCTTAAAATGTCATTTATATAAGATTGAATAGTCATTCATTCACTGATACTTCAGATATTTGAATTTGATGACAAGTCACTGTATGAGTGGCTAGTGGGAATGATAAAATAATTAAGATGAGATTCCTTATTTTCAAACAGTTTCAAATTAAGTAGTAAAGATAATAAGTTAAAATAAAGTACATATGAGAAAAGAAAGATCCTGTGTAACTGAGGTGATACTTTTTAATCCCCAGGTGCCTTTTTCTTTTGGTTGCTCAAACACAGAGAAGCCAGTTCTCTTGTTCCTGCAGTGTTAGGGGTGTTCTGGTGGCCTGGGCATGCCTGCGAATCTTCTGACAGGCCTGGGTTTCCACGTGTAAACGGACCGTGCGCTGGGAAGGCCCAGAGGACCACCTGCTACCTTGTCTCCCAAGAGACCGCAGAGATGGGCAATGAATTTATCTTGGTCTGTAGTCTGGTGTTGAACCAGGTAGAATTAGGCAACTGATTTTATTGACTCCCTGAGTTTTCTGGTTAGGGAAGCATAAAGGAAGCTGGGAATGCCCAGAAACCCAGAGGCTCGTGTCAGCGTCCAGTAGCGAGCACTGTCTGGGAGACGAGTTGTCTTCTCGTGGACAGTTTACACGAGGGAGCACATGCAGTCCTAAGGCCGCATGATAGGCATGGGATCTTTACCTAGGGAGTTACCTTCAAGTTTTAATTTCATCTGGCCAGAGTAGCCCCGTGTAATGTGGACTGGAACTTCTCGTAGTCTGTCACTCAGGACTCCTGCTTCTCTGGAAATGGGCATTGCCAGTACAAGAACATAAGCTCTATGAGAGCGGGCATTTTTGTCTTTTTTTTTTCCCCCTGTTTCCCCAGCATTTAGAAAAGTAGAAGACACGTTTGCATTCTCAGTATTTGTGCTTTCTAGCGTACTTTTTACTGACACAGTCTGGCTTTTTTATTAACTGGTTATAAGCCAGTTTGATTGGCCTGAGGACTCAGTGTCTCATTCAGGTACCTTGGCATCTTTATTTGCTGATTTCTGAAAATGTATTTATTTTGCTTGTTTCTATTTATTGTAAAATGAGCCACGAACACCTGTGATGCTTACCACACTCCGATTTTTTTCAGATGTTTTGTTGAATGTAAGAACTATTTTATTATCTAATCAGGTGGATATTTCACATGTTCCTGAATTACGCTGTTAGGACCACAGTGCTTTTAGCTTGTGTGTGACCCACAGCAGCTCAAGAAGAGGGCCTAAGCAGGGGTCAGCTGGTGTAGCGTTCGGTGGGCACAGCCACAGGGTGACGCTTTGCCAGGTTTGTGAGTTAAGTGAGGTGGCTCACTGCCGTCTTTAAACTTTGCACTGCCTCTAAACAAGGTGAATTAGAACAAGTAGAAAAGGATTTAATCAGAGCATCAGAACTAAAGGACTTTCCTGTGCTGGTTCTATTCTACACACCCATTAGGTGGAAAGTCAGGTATCATTACGTAAAAGAAATTTTCTCTCATCACAAATCTAATTGAAGCACATTGATTAATTGGGATAGTCACTTAGCTAATACCCTGGGACTTTTTTTTTTTTTTTAACTACTATGATGGGCTTGCATCTTGGAGAATTCCACCAGTCAGTTGTCACTGCATGTACACGAGATGATGTCATTCTCAGCAGAAGGGTTCTGAGCCGCTTCTGTAGTAAAGGCCAGATACTGACGTTGACACTGAAGAGTAACTAGCAATTAAGAATGTTTGTATGGAACTGAAAGGTTACTTTCTTTGAAAAAGAACTAAGTTTGAAAGTTGATTGTTTACTTGGAAAACAAGGTGTCATTAGTTTTTGTAAGTAATTGGTGAGTTGCAGAATTTCTGGAAACATCAGAATATTTCATGAACAGACCCCAAAAGGTAGTTTTAATATAGTTTTGTAGTGCATGAGTACCAACTCAAGACTTAGAAAGGACTTAAGTAGATGATTGTAGCATTTTATAGTAGCACTGTTACTATAACAATTAATGTCTTTTAAAAATCGGAGAAGTGAGGAAAACGTGAGTGAGCATCATCCACTGGTTCACTTCCCAAATGCCTGCAATGGCTGGGGCTGGCCCAGGCCTTCATAGGGAGCTGGACACTGAAACCAGTTCTCCCAACTGAGCCGTCTCCACTGCCTCCCAGAGTCTGTATTGGCAGTGAGCTGGAGTCGGGAGCCAGCCAGTGCCAGTTGTGGAACCTGGGTGCTGCAGTGTGGGCTGCGCGTGTCTTAGCCACTAGGCTAGCTTGCACCTGTGAGTATTTTAGGAAGTCAGCCACCCTATCACGATTGCCCGATTGCCTTTTTTTTTTTTTTTTGACAGAGTGGACAGTGAGAGAGAGAGACAGAGAGAAAGGTCTTCCTTTGCCGCTGGTTCACCCTCCAATGGCTGCCAAGGCCGGTGCACTGCGCTGATCCAATGACAGGAGCCAGGTACTTCTCCTGGTCTCCCATGGGGTGCAGGGCCCAAGCACTTGGGCCATCCTCCACTGCACTCCCGGGCCACAGCAGAGAGCTGGCCTGGAAGAGGGGCAACCGGGACAGAATCCGGTGCCCTGACTGGGACTCGAACCCGGTGTGCCGGGGCCACAAGGCGGAGGATTAGCCTAGTGAGCCACAGCGCCAGCCACAATTGCCTTTTGAGATAGTCATTTTCATCTCTTTGTAGTCATAAACATTTCACGTGTACTAAAGTATACAATAAGAAACACTGTGTATGAAGTGTCCTGTGACTGATTTTATAGACATAGCAGGACTTAGACATTCAGATAAATGTCATCCTCTTCAAAACGTTCACCTTGGAAAGAAGTAAACCTTCCTTTTGGAATTATCTTCAAAGTTTTTCAGATATAACATTTTGAAGATATTCTGTCCTAGCAGATATTTACTCTGCATTAAGTTTAATGTTTCGAATAAGCCTGGAATCATTTGGAGCCAGTGGTAGTGACGCAGTCATCCTGGGTAAGAAGTGTGGTTATGATCCTATTATTTTCCTTTAAATCCTCCAGTGGCTCCTGCGCTCTTTGGATAAAGTCCAAACTGCCCTCTAGCAGGGCCTTCCTGTCCAGTCCTCTCAGCTTCCTTGAGCCTCTTTCTGCTGAACTTGGAACTGTTCTTTGAAGGATTTCTACTTTGCTACCTTTGTACTCAGGTTTTTCTTTATAACTGACATGAATGAAATCTCTCGTCCCCAAGCCATCCTATCCCTGGCCATTCCCTGAGCCATACAAGACCCGTGGTTTGTGCTCAGTGTTCCTAGCATCTCCTGAAACACCACGTACTTAATTGTCTGCGGAAGTCTGGCTGCCCAGGTCTGCGTGGCTGTGGCCACTGCTCTTCTCAGTACTGAGCGCCGGTGCCTCAGATGCTGTCTGCTGGAGGAGTGATGAAAAGAATTACTTAGTCAGCTTCATGCCGCAGTGCTGTAGCTTTGCAGGTAACAGGTGTTAGCTCTGGGGGTCAGGGCTCTTTCCCTTCCTTGCAGTGGGGCTGCTTAGTCTGGGGAAGCCAGTTTCCAGGTCCATAAAATGAGGATTAAAACTGTCACAGTCTGAGGCAGAGATGAAGTGAAATAATGTGCTGTACAGTGCTGGCTGAGTAACTGGAATATTTGGGGTAAAAAGCAGTAGTGATGGTAGCCTGATGCAGCCGTGAAGCAGTCGCAAGAAAAGCAGCGCAAGCATCTCTCAGTGATGTTTGTGACTTCTCAAGGTGGTTGTTGTGAAATTTCCTTTGTATCTGTTTGTCTGCAGTTGTTACAGTCTGCCTCTTTACCATACAGATGTGAATGCGGTCTATGTTATTTCTCATTCCATCTCTGTGATTTTCCATACAGGATATACTAAAATCATGTATCTGTGTCTTTTGTTTACTAAAAAATTGTAAGACTGAAACATTCCTGTTGGATGAGTAAAATGTCACAGCTGGTAAAGCAGACAAGTGTAGAAGGGCTAGCGGGCGGGGAATAAACAGGACCAGTGGTGCTGATGAGGCTGATTCGCCCGGGCATCAGCAGCCTTTTCAAGTTCTGTGTAGGCTGAGATAAAAAGTTGAAAGCAAACAGGATGACTTGAACTTCATGGAAACAGTACTGGTAACTCACAAATAAGAATTAGTGTTGTTGATAAATGCAGCTGATAAGTGCAGACTTACTCATCTCACTTGGATGAGTTATGATCAAGTGTGTCCCTGGCATTTTGAAAGCTTTGAGTTCTCTGAGTTTGGAGATGATTTTTTTTAAAGAATTTATTTATTTGAAAGTTAGAATTATACACAGAGAGAGGGAGAGACCGAAAGGTCTTCTATCCACTGTTTCATTGGTTCATTCTCCAAATGGCCGCATGGCTGGAGCTGGGCCAGTCTGAAGCCAGGAGCATCTTCCTGGTCTCCCACAGAGGTGGCAGGGGCTCAAGCACCTGGGGCGTCTTCCGCTGCTTTCCCAGGCTCATTAGCAGGGAGCTGGATCAGAAGTGGAGGAGCCGGGTCTTGAACCAGGGCCCATATGGGATGCAGATGTCACAGGCAGCGGCTTTACCTGCTCTGCCACAATGCCGTTCCCATGGTAGAAGACATTTTAAATATTTTAAATCACTCTCATGGTACACTTGGACATTCAGTCTGAAGGAATTCTGAATCACAGATTAGTCTGAATTAGTTGAGGTTTTTGTAAGCAAACACGGTATCTTTATGGATGAACTTACTCAAAGTTGTTCATAAGTTTTTCTTCCCACTTTGGTAAAATGCAATTTTAATTAAAATATGATTATTCCCTGGACTTGTTCTAGTTGTTATAAATATCCAAATTATTAGTATTGTTATAACAAATGCTCCTTGATTATAGTATAAACCCAAACTATATTGTACTGAGCTCTTTGAAAAGAGCATTATTTATTAGCATAAACAGGTTCAGAGACTCAGTTAATAATAATTATTTTGGTTAAACTTCACTCAGCATCTCTCGGCGCTGACCCAAGTCGGAGGCAGAAGCTGTGCTGGAGGACTGAGAGCACTATAGGAAGGCTGCCTGCTGTTTGAGGCAGTTGTTACGACATGGCTGGATTTGCAGTCCATGAGCCTCAGTCTGGAGAGGGGGCAGGGAGCTGCGCCTGATGTGTAGTTTTGTTGTCAGCTTGACGCATTCTCAGTTTCAGATACACCGCCTCCGCCACCTCCCGCGGAGGAACCTGTCTTCGATGAGTGCCCTCCTCCCCCGCCTCCCCCGGAAGATTATGAAGAGGAGGAGGCAGCTGTGGTGGAGTACAGCGACCCCTACGCCGAGGAGGACCCGCCCTGGGCTCCCAGGGCCTACTTGGAGAAGGGTGAGTTTCAGAAGGGTGCCCGCGGGGGCGCAAGGGACCCTGGTGTCGTTTTTACTGATGAGTAAAGTTTTATTTATTTGTATTTTCTGTTCATGTTTATTAATTTAGTTTATCAGGTGAATGGTTTGGAAAGTCACACTGGTAAAATTTTGTATTAGTAATTTTTAAATGTGTGATTCCTGCTGGAATGAGTGGTTTCTGTGAGAAGCAATCCCGGAAGGGAGACTGCTCTTCCTCTCTGGGATGCTTCAGGAAGACCACTTCTCCAAGTTGGTTCTTCCCCCTCTCCAGCTCTGCAGCATTCCGAGTATACGCACACTCAGTTCAGGTCTCTCCACGTGGAACTTTCCTGGAAGGAACAATAGTCTCGGCTTCTTTGCAGAGCAGCCTCCGGCTTTTCTCTAGTAGAAGGTGTTTCTGAGTCCACTAGTGAGCCATGATATAGACAGAAGCTTGGGGCCTGCAGGTCTCATCAGGCCTAACCACCCTGAAAAAAGTGTGCTGTCTTGGAAGGATGGTTTTCTGTTAAGGAAGTGGAAGCTTCTAGCCCACATGGTTCCCAATCTGGCTGCCCGTTAGCATCCTCCAGGGGCTCTTTATTAATAAATCGTGGACTTCTACTGACTGGCCAAGATAGAGCACAGTGATGAGAGTGACTCTCTCAAAACAGGAATCCAGAAGAAAAGTGCACAGAGCTGGTTTTCGTGCATTGAACTATAGGCAGCAAAAGCCCGTGAGCACGTGGGGAGGCAATCCGAGAACTCTTCTGTTTTGTAGTGTTTATAAATGCTGCATGTGCTCATGAAGGTAGAGGGGCACGTGGGCTGGAGAGAGAGTGGAATAGATTTTAAAAGACAAATGCCACATATGCCACCTGGAGTTTCTGGAGATAGAAAATAAATGCTCTGAAGTGGTGCAGAAGAGGTGAGGGGCCGTGACACCGAGACAGTAGAAGCTATCCAAAAGGTGGCACTGAGAAAAAGGACAGAAAACAAAACAGAAGAACATGTACATGAGAGAGTGTTGCTGTGGATTCATTCTGAGAGGAGGAGCGTGGTGGGGGCAAGAGGCACGGAGTCGCCACACAGACCCCAGGAGTTGGGTGAAAGTGGGCCAGAGGCGAGCAGCCCACAGACTCGTTTATTTCAGTTGGTACAGCAGCTTATATAGCCAAGGCAGCCAATCTGGTCAAGGGGCGGTTTATGCCCCAACCAGTTTCCAAAGCCATCCAATCACAGCTTGTTGCCAGGCAGGCTCCGTTGCTAGGTGGGTTTTGAAGCCATTCCTGAGTAACTGAGGCTCGTTTGCCAGTGGCCATCTTGGCATGCCTTCTCATTCCACCACAGGAGAGATCAAATAATCTTTATATAAAGAAAAATGTAAAGGCTGGCGCCACGGCTCAATAGGCTAATCCTCTGCCTAGCGGTGCTGGCACACCGGGTTCTAGTCCCGGTTGGGGTGCCGGATTCTGTCCCGGTTGCCCCTCTTCCAGGCCAGCTCTCTGCTGTGGCCCGGGAGTGCAGTGGAGGATGGCCCAAGTGCTTGGGCCCTGCACCCCATGGGAGACCAGGAGAAGCACCTGGCTCCTGCCTTTGGATCAGCGCGGTGTGCCGGCTGCAGCACACCAGCCGCGGCGGCCATTGGAGGGTGAACCAACGGCAAAGGAAGACCTTTCTCTCTGTCTCTCTCTCTCTCACTGTCCACTCTGCCTGTAAAAAACAAACAAACAAAAAAACATAAAAAATATGAAAAATATTTTAAAAATTGTATCTTATCTATAATTGGATTCCCCGGGAGTAGTGATAGGAAAAAAAAAAAAACAACTTGGTCAAAATGTTTCCACATTTGATGAAAGCTTTTACTGCCTAACAAAAATATTCCAGAACGTGGTGAGTTGAGTTTTGGCATCGTCTCCAGGCTCTGTGAGGCCTCCCCACCACAGACCAGGCGGCACTACCCCCACCCTGGTGCCGTCTCGGGGCTGCCGGGCTGCACTGAGCTCTAGGCTTGCCTCTGGGGGAGCTCTGACCTGGCGCTCATGTGCGCATCGGCAGGTGCAGGGCCTGCTGCACTGATGGCAAGGAGAGCCAGAGAGACTTCAAGCGAGAGAAGAAGCTTGTATTCCCACCTAGTCTCAGAAGTGACAAGCTATCAGTTTTGTCCTGTTCCATTCATTAAAGCAAGTCCATGGGTGCAGCCCACACTCAAGGCCTGGGCACTGCATAAAGGCTTGAGTATTAAAGGTGGAACTCCCTGGGAGCACATTTAGAAGTTGTCCGTCCCAGAAACAACAAACGCACTTATCCAAAGTTCAGTAAACCCCAACAAGAAAAAACAAAAACCAGGAAGTAATAGAAATCTTAAAGATAATCAGCGAAAATGGCACCTTCCATCCCAGGGGAACAAAGACAAGACTGACTGCATAGTTCTCATCAAACATGTGCAAGCCAGCACGGCTTCTCTGAGCTCCTGAGGGACGTGTTGACCTAGAACTCCTCACCCAGTGAGCTACGTGCAGTCTCCAGTCTGCAAAGGGGTGAGGAGTGAGGGGTGAACACATGGGCAGTCCTTTCCAGACTTTTCCCCAGAGTTCGGTCGCTTGCAAAGGTCGCGAATAAACAAAGTAGCACTTTATCAGTTAGAGTAAATGTAAATGGGATTTCACTACACAGACAATGAGCGGAGGTGAGGTGAAATACCGCAAATATATGCTTACAAAATTCATATAGTTTCTGTGAGGTGTAGTATACTCTTTGAAGATAGAGTGAGAAGAATGTGTATGTTGTAAACATTAGAATAGGCAATAAGAACCTCCACCTGATGTTTTAGGAAGCAGGCTTGACAGGGGTTGGGAATACAGAGTCGTCATACTGTTGTCTGTCATCACACTGTTCAGAAAACCCCCTGTGTCCTGAGTGATGCACCTGCCAACATCCCAGCTTAGAGGTCACGGATAAGCGCAGTGACTGTGATGACGGAGAGGAGCGTTGGGGTGTGACGGTTCAGGAGGTAGAGTGGGCTGGGCTGGGAGACGCAGAGGAGGTGAGGGGAGAGCCGGGGGATGGCTCGTGACCTGACTCGGGCAGCAGCTCAGGGAGTGGAAAGGAAACTGGGAGGTTTTGCTGACCAGATAAACTTTCCATTTTCCATGTAATTAAAATTATCTCAACTTAAGATATGTGACTTACCACAAAGAGTTTATTGAAGTAGATAATCTTGCCAACATTTTGATTTTGCCAGTGAGTTGGAAGTACTTACTTGTAATTTTGGCTACTGTGCGGTGTGATGGTCATTGGGTTTAGCTCGCACCAGTCACTTGTATGTAACCTTCTCATTTTGCATTTTTCCCCATGGTGGTGGCTGTAGTGTCACTTCCGCTTTTTATCCAGTGTGTATTTCAGTACATTTCCTACCAGCCCAGCAGGCGGAACGCCCCGGAGTATCGATGCATTCCGAGGCGCCTGCAGTGCTGGGCTCTGTGTCGGGGCTGCGCAGAGGTGCGTTCGGGTCACGTTTCGCTCAGGTGCAGATCTTGATAAAGTACTTGCGGCCTTGCCTCCTAGCGAAACGCGGACCTGAGCCGTGTGCCTCGAAGCTGGGGATGGGTTTGCACCGGGGCAGGGACACTGAGGGGCCAGTCGGGCCCCGCTAGTCCTTCTGTTTCTCATAACTGCACAGAGGCCGGGAGAGCGTCTCTACAGCTTTGTTTCCCTCGATGCCATTTAAATTCCTCGTGTGACTTTTATTCTGTGTGTGATGTACACGGAGAATTCAAAAGGATTTGAGAATTTTCCTCACTACTGCCAAAATCATTTTTCCAGACGGAGTAAAATCTAAGACAGATTTTACGTTTCTCCACATCAGTATTTTGAATTCTTGTGGAAAACAGCAAGATCCTCAGATTTCCTATTTACCTCTTCAGAGTTCTTTTTGAGAAAAAGTCTCAAAACTTTGATACAAAGTCCAGCCTGTTTTCTTTTTGATGAGCACTTTATTTGAAAGAATTAAATGAAGTAAACAACTAGTGTACGTTTTTCCCTGGAGTGGGGAGGGATATTCTCAACAGCTTACCTTTTAGATTAAACGAGCACTTTCAAAATAGCCATCGCTAATTTTGACTAAAAGTGCTTTGCAGTTGTTAAAGGCCTCAGCCCGGTGCCGCTTCAGATGCGGCCTCGGGGCCCTGCCCAGGGCGCTGCATTTGCCAGGATGCGGGTGCGCCGGGAGCCCCGGCACTCCCATGCCGCTCAGCTTCTCTGTTGCAGGGCCTTGTGTTCTCTTCTGAATTACTTGTTAGTGGGTTTACATTTCTCTAAACATCATAAAGTTGTCTTTTCTTTTTAAAAATGCTAGAAAATACTGGGTTGTCTGAAAATGCTAAATACTGTTAACTTGTATTCTCTTGGACTTACAGTTCAACTTGTATGTCATTTAATTACATCTAATTGTGTTTGGTAAATCTTCCTCGCTAGTTTTTTCTGGTGTCCCTAATAGATCGCTACAATGGAAAGTATTCTCTTTAAGGAAGTCATTTAATTTTTAGTAAAGCAGGCCATAAACACAAATTTTCTTTAACTAGAACAGGTTGCATATTATTCAAAGTCTCTGTTCTGGTTTCTGTTTCTCATTTATGCTTTGAAGGGTGAGGTTGTGTAAGAAGCTGACATGTTAGCAATATATGCTTTATTTATTTATTTATTTATTTATTTTTGACAGGCAGAGTGGACAGTGAGAGAGAGAGACAGAGAGAAAGGTCTTCCTTTGCCGTTGGTTCACCCTCCAATGGCCGCCGTGGCCGGCGCACCGCGCTGATCCGATGGCAGGAGCCAGGAGCCAGGTGCTTTTCCTGGTCTCCCATGGGGTGCAGGGCCCAAGCACTTGGGCCATCCTCCACTGCACTCCCTGGCCACAGCAGAGAGCTGGCCTGGAAGAGGGACAACCGGGACAGAATCTGGCGCCCCAACCGGGACTAGAACCCGGTGTGCCAGCGCCGCTAGGCGGAGGATTAGCCTAGTGAGCGTGGCGCCGGCCAATATATGCTTTTTTATTATTTATTTTATTATTATTAATTTGACAGAGTTACAGAGAGAGAGAGAGAGAGAGAGAGAAAAGTCTTCCTTCCATTGGTTCACTCCCCAAATGGCCGATCCGAAGGCAGGAGCCAGGTGCTTCTCCTGGTCTCCCATGGGGTGCAGGGCCCAAGCACTTGGGCCATCCTCCACTGCACTCCCGGGCCACAGCAGAGAGCTGGACTGGAAGAGGGGCAACCGGGACAGAATCCGGCGCCCATATGGGATGCCGGCGCTGCAGGTGGAGGATTAACCAAGTGAGCCACGGCGCCGGCCCCAGCAATATATGCTTTAACCATGGATAGATGGAGATGGAGGTTTCCCTGGACAGAGTTCTGGATGATACCAGAAAGGTGCAGGAGGCAGAGGGGCTGGCGTAGACTAGAACTCCACAGGGGCATCTGAGCGAGCTCTCGGTGTCGCAGTTAAAACGAGTGGGATAAATGTGATCTTAGGAAGCAGAGATGGTCCGAGGGCGGGGTTGAAAGGCCCGGTCACCAAGTGATGGGAGCCGTGCGGATCACAGGGGAGCTCGGAGGAGTGCTGGCTTTCTTACACTTTGACACTGTTCCTGTGGACACATACAACTGGTGACAAAATGGAGCACCTTTTGAAAGAACGTATCTACAGGTGGACTCCCCTCCTCCAAGCATCGTGGGAATTCGGTCTGTTGTCAGTCGCCTCGTAGGTGACTTCACCGCACTGTAGAATCTCAGTGCTGGAAGGCCTGCATTTTTCTTCCCCAGCGTGGAGCTGCAGCGCAAGCTCAAGTGAAGAGGTAGCCGTCTTCCTGGTTCTGAGGTCGTCTTCAAGGAGGCGCTTTCGCCTCTGTGTGGAAGGGTGAAGCTGACAACTGCCATCTGTACCGTGCAGAGCCTCCCCTCGGTAGGAAAGGGGATTCCGTGGTGTCAGGCTGGGTACCAGGGAGAAAAGTGTACAAACTGTGGTCTTGTTTAGAAAGTCAGGCTGTTACAGAGATGCAGGTGACAAGGAAGAACGGTTATCTGCATGTTTGGTTTTCTCTAAGAATAGTGACTTTTTATATCCTGTTTTTTTCTCCCTTAGTTGTGGCAATTTATGATTACACAAAAGACAAGGAGGATGAGCTGTCCTTCCAGGAAGGAGCCATCATCTACGTCATCAAGAAGAATGACGACGGCTGGTACGAGGGCGTGATGAACGGAGTGACTGGGCTCTTCCCGGGCAACTACGTGGAGTCCATCATGCATTATTCCGAGTGACGCGCGGGGGGCTGTGCGGCCCTCGCAGGAACAGTCAGGTCTCCCCGGAGTACTCACGGCCCGGGGCGCCCCTTCCAGTCAAACAGAACGAAGGATACAAACGATAAAACGGCTTTTTTTTTTTTTAATCCCCAAGTATTGAAAACAAAAAAGCAAGCCAACTCTGAGCAGACGGGTCTTTCTGCAGTGATTGGTGCCACGCTGAGCTGTCGAGTGATGCGCCGTGCCCGGTTCCGAGGTGGCAAAGCTGGAACCGCCTAACCGTGCAGCTGAGCACATCAGAGTGACTGATTCGGGACACAGTCTGGGATCGTTCTCAGGAATACTGGACACCCTCGATTCCTCCTCCCACAAAACCCGTGGCATTGGGTGTTCTCTGCCTGTGCTAAGGGGTTGGCTTCATGCCCAGTGGGTACTGGTGCCCGCACTTCCTTCCCGCTTGGAGGAGGAGGAGGAAGTCGATACTTACACTCCCCGGTAACCATGGTTCCGTTGTCTCAGCAGCCTTGTTCCTCCTGGACACTGTAAATTCCGCATCCTCAGCACCTGAGTGCGCCCAGCGAGTTGACCTTGAACGCACTTGTATCCCTTGTTCCCCAGTGTGTAGATGACAGGATGCTGCTCTGGGAGTCTGCAGACATGGCGGGGTGGGTAAGGACTGCACGGTGTGATGTACCACGCTGCCGGGAAGCAGCTGGGGTGGGGGCGGTTCCCGGGGAGGCGGTGGGAGGGTCCGAGAGCACGCTGCTGCCTGGCCTCGAGGGCATCCCAAACCCTTGCCTGAGGTGCAGTTCTGTGGGGCCCTCCTTTTCCCTACATAGAAAGACCCTGTTCCCAGCCTCCTCCTGGCCACCCTGGGGCGCTGGGAGAGGGAGCCTCACCGTGATGGGACCCTGAGGGGCTTCTCAGCCCCAAGCCCATCTCACACTCAGAGCATCCTAGCTGGAGAGCAGCAACAGGCCACAATGCTGACCCCCTCGCTAATTTAGAAGCAGTAACAAAAGAATTTTACTCCCATCTGTTCAGCTGTTAGGGTTCTACATGGAGTGGAGTTTGCAGGCCAGTGGCTTCCTTCGTCACACTTGCTGTCTCCTGAGTACTGGGAACCCCCGGCAAGGCATGCAGTGCAGGCAGGAACTTGAGTGCAAATGAGCAGGCAGAAGTCATGTTCCTGTTGCACATCTGTGCTCGGAGCAGAGCCCTGCATCGCTGTGCAACAGACCCAGCTGTAGAGATTCCTGATCAAGACTTTGTGAAGTTATAATTAAGAAGAAAGGTAACTGGGCTTAACCGTTTTGCTTCCTGATTTCCCCAGACTGGTCTTAGCTTTACTAACTTGCCTCCAGTCCACATTCCACTTCGTGCTTTTCTTGAGTCATCTTGATGTCCCTTAGTGTTCCTTCATAGTCAGTGCCGCGGGGCCTTCAACGCCATCGGACACCCAAACCAGACTGCGTGTGCATCGGGTAAACCCTGCTTAGTGCCGGCGTGCAGCTGGACAGACAGCTTTGAAATGACATCTTCCAGCTATATTTTTGAGTAGTTTCTTTGCTGAGAGCATTTTGTGGTTTAAGGTGTTTTGAAATCCAACAAGTAGCTCCCGGCTCCCCACCAGAGGAGACCCCTGTGCAGAAGCTGTAACGCGCGCACCTGCTGGACCCTTGCTGGATGGGAGTGTGCCAGATACTCGGTGAAGGCCTCTTTGTATTTAACATCTGCGGTGGCAGGAGTCCACGACTTAGCCAGTATTTTCTATATTATTTGGTACTGTTGTGTGTGACTTTTGTTTAACAAATGATATTTGTTGGATTTTCTGCCCACTTTTTTTGTACAGTTCTGAATTCTATAGATTGTCTCAGAAGGATATAATGTAATGATGGGCCAGGCCTGCATTGGAGACTTTTAATGTATGTAATATTTCATAGATTGCATGCTATTAATAGTCTGTGAGGGTAATATTTCCTGTTGTGTTTCCCCCTTTATCTTCCTGTAAACTAAAAGATGGTTGGTATTAGGAATTCCAAATGAATGCGGAAAAATCTTACATGCTTTTAATAATTACAGCGAGGATGATCCAAGTCGCAGATCTGCTGAACAGCAAGCAACCATTTGTAAGGATAGAATCTGATGGAAAAAAGATTCTTCCCTCTGAAGTTCATTTAGACTGTGGTCATCTCATTATTACAATTTTTTTAAAAAGTCACTGCATAATGGTTTTTTTTTTTTTTTTGGTGTTAATATTCCAGAGTTGGTGGAGATATGAATGAAAACGCACTGTTTTTGTTTTTGACCTTATGGCCAAGACAATAAATTGGAAACAAAGTACCAGTGCATCAAAATCCAGACCTGAGAAATCCAGACTAATGTGTTTGGAATAAATACTAATCTGCTAAGACATCTCGGTCCGTATTTTCTGTCTCGTGGCCTTTTTCCTTTCTCCCTCAGTAGCGCGTGCTGCTCTCACCTTAGGGCTGCGAAGAACCTGCTAACTCCGCTGTGTTGCTGAGTCACTGGGGATGAGCCCTTCTCATCCTCTCCTCTCCCTCCTCCGACTGTTTGGTCCCGGCGAGAGCAGCTGTTGTGTACATCTCCCCAGCACTGTGTGTAGCATGGCTGTGCCACATAGCTGTGCTTTGTGTTGAGTAAATTGATTTTTCTGTTTGGGAGGCATCAAAATACAGTTTGCTGTGATCTTGGTTTCCACTTGAGTTTAGCAGGTGCCATTTCTGCACCTCTAGGAGCTACTTCCCCTTCTGTCACCTTTTCTCCTCCGTGGGCATTGCCAGGTCCTGAGGTCCACCGTTACGTGTGCAGAGGGTTTGCTGCAGGAATGGCCAGGTGACTGCCAGTCTTTGAGAAGAATGGGGCCTGTTCACGTCTGAACAACTTCGGCTAGGAACTCCGCACCCCAGTTACTTTGAATCAAAGGATTTTAAAGCTAGATTTTAGCATCTCTGGTTCCGTCTCTTTTGACTGGTAAGGTTAAATGTTTTGCTTCAGATGAACAGCTGATAACAGAATTCCTGACTCAAAGCCCAGTGGGCCTCTCTGCACCACAGCTGTCTTAATTAAATGTGCTGTATTTTTCTTTGATTCTACTTGATGTCCTTAGAAATATACTTGAACCACCATGTTTCACTAAATGCCCTCTGAGTATTCAGACTCTCTAAAACTGTACTAAGTGCCACCTTAGTGAAAACAATCATTTACCCCTTCTAAAACTGTCATTAAAGACATTTTCCCATAAGGTCTGTGGAACAAAAATACAGTATTAGTTCAGCAGTGGCAGGAGCACAGCAGACAGCCTTATTTGAGAGCCTTAGTAAAGTTTTTAAGTGGAGGCATTGAGCTCATCAACCTTTAAGTTTATGCTGATCTTTGTTCCTATTTTGAGAATCTTGTAATTCTAAATGAAATTATGAATGAAACGACAGGGCCTAGCTGTGTATAAATGATCCTTGCTAAATAAGGTTTTTGTAAAAAAAAAAATTATTTTCACATTAAAATGAAACCTCTTTTGCAACTTCAGAAATCTGTGGAAAAGCAGTTTTTAATCATACTTCTGTCCATGTACCTTTTTTCTTAAGAAAATGGTTTACAAAAAAGAATGTCAACAATTGTGATCTGGCCAGTTGTGCTTTTTAGCTCCCAGAGGGAGAGCTGGTATTGAGCAAAATCCATTCATTCAGGAAAACTTGAGGGAGCAGTTGCCAGTAATGTTTCTTGTGTGTGCCATTAAACCACCTCCAGATGAGTGGGGGAACATTCACTTTTTAATTTTTTAATTGTATTTGGGATTATTGCTGTGTACTAAGAACTTGACCTAAATAAAAATCCCACAAAGTATATTCAGTTGTCTTATGAGATTATTTATCGTAAGTACCATCTAGGTGGTTTGGGATAGCATTAAAATGTTGAGCTTGCGGTAAGGATGACCTGTCACGTTTTCTCTCCTCCAGTTGCCCTAACTATGAACTGCCTTCTTCCCACTTTCCCCCAACTACATCTGAATTCTCTGTGTCAGTGTGTTCCTAACACTGAAAATGGGAGTGACAAAAGTACTGCAGATGGTCCAAGTTGTGACTGAAAGAAAACTAACAAGACTGTCCTGTTGTTGGCTCAGAGTTTTCTGGTGTTATATCTGAGTGACTCTGGGCCCACAGCCGTGCTCCCACGAACTCCAAGAATGTTTCAGTCCCCCCTCCCCTGTACCTTTATCCTTGGATGTCCTCAGCTGACAGAATCCTTTGGAATACCTGGATAATGCCACTTCCATCTTAAAAAGCAAGACTAGGAGGAGTCTTAGGCAAGGGAACAGCTAGTTCAATAGCCAGTCTGCTGTTAGCCTTACTTGGCTCTTTTTGGGTTATGTTGGAATTACACATTTGGCTGAAATGCTTTGTGGATTTGTGGAGGGGGTCTAAGCCCTAATTCCATCCTCTTTTCAGTCTGTGTTTACTGCACAGACCCTTTTCCTCTGAGGCCAAAGTGCAGGCGTAGTTCTCAAAACCAGACAGGACTGGCAGCTGGTGAGAGTGATGGTTTCCATTTTGGGGAAATGGTAACATGGTTTGTAGACAGAGTGGAGCACACACAGACACATACGTCGAAGCTGGCAGCCCAACACATACCATGACTCCAGAACGCTGAAACAAAACATCCCTTTTTTGTACTACTTTTTACTAGTTGTACTTTATTTAAAGAAAATTTTAAGCTATTATTACTTCTTAATTGCTAATATATTTAATGGCCCAAGCTCCCCAGTTTGTTGGTATAAACTAAACTATCCTTTAACAGGTTGAACACATCAAACTAGTTTATCCACCTTCACACTTAGTTTGTTCTTATTGTACAACTTATATTTTGGGTACCCCAACATGAAGCAAAACCAGGTTCTTAATGGTGCCAATCCACACACACCATCTGAATGAGAATCTATGGTTGGTTGGTGTTGGTTTATTATCATCAATGACTGGGGAAGCTGACAAAATGCAAACATGTAACTGAAAAACAAATTTAGCTGACTGTACAACACTGCCCTAAGCCATTACAATAGTTTACTGACAGTAACTGGCAAGAGTTCACTTGGAAAATAACTTCATCCAGCAGAACATGATCAGTAGTACTGAATCTCTCATATATATCTCTCTATATATCTCTCTCTATAGCTTTGCACAATCAGGGAGCAAGGCACATAATGAAATGACAGCATATATTGATGCAGAGGAGAATAGCAACAAAGCTGAGAAAAAAGTGAACCTCTTCACTGAGCTGTGCATAATCCTTTGAATAATGTCCTCTGTGTAACAGTTCAGTTTGTCTTTTTCATGCTTTAGAAAAGTATATTTCTACACTGAATCTATTTATGGCAAAGCTGGCACATCCTGGAAGTCAGTGTAAGCTTTGACTCCATTTTTTAAAGAAGTAGGGCAAGAACAGAGGCAGGGGCAACCCCAGTTAATGTGCAACTTTCCTTTAAAACAGTAAACAACGTTTTTACAACACTGAGCACAAGCTAATGGTATTTTACCTTAAATGTACATCTCTGTAAGAGTTCACTAGTGACTCAAATAGAACTTAAGTAAATTCATTTGAAACATTCCAGTTAATGCTTATTTTCTAGAAGGATTATTTACAAGAAGAAAAAAAAATTCAGGAGGTGGACAGTCATGACAAGTGGCAGTTTTTGGTATCAGGTTACAATAAACTTAACGAACAAGGGACGGTTCCAGAAGGTAGGTCTGTTTCATTTCATTGTCCCCTAAGTGCTGCAGACATGTTCTGCTGCCTGGGAAGAGGCTGAGGCTTCAGAAGCCGGGAGCCTGCGACTGGAAGCCGCCTGTTGTCAACACAGTCCCGTCTCGGGCGCTGCGCCCCCAGGCCCTTCTCCCCGTGTCTTTGGTAGAAAAGCAGCCAGACCTCATTTCAGTGATGAAACCCTCTCCTGTAGGACCGGCACTCCTTCCATTCCTATCAGGACACTCGTCTGCCTTTGCTTTAGTAAGCACCTCAGAGTGTGAGTGAGTGTGTGTGTGCACGCGGGCGCGCGTGTGTGTGCATGTGTGTGTGATGCTGTTCCTCCAAGAGTTCAAGGCACTGGGGATTACAGCAAGGGTTTTCTCCTGGAAACGGTTTACAAGAGCAAACCAATCAGAGGTTTTGTTTTTCTCCTAATGTTACCAAGTATGTTTTGCTTATCTTTATTTGGAATTGATTCTGCAGCTAGATTTCAGGTTTCTTGTACACATAGACAAGGGCACAATAAGAACTGAGCACTTTTTATTTGCAGGATAGTCTGGGAAAAGTGTAGAAATGTTCTCACTGGATTTCAAAGTGAACATCTCAAGAGACAGTGGGATGTTTAATTTCGTTCTACCTGCAGTTCTCTTTGGATCCAGTCTCTGTGAGAGGTCACACATTCTACAGGGACAGGGATACCCTGCCTCGTTTATACAAATAATGCAGTGGACAAAACAAAAAGTGCCAAAACCACCTGCAGTCTAAGGGAGTTTTGTTTTAAAGAGAGAGTCACCTTCTCATCATTCAGAGTGTGAGCCCGTGCTACTGCGAGCAGTCACCACACAGTCATCCAAGGTCACTGGGGCTTCCCTGGCCTCGCCTGGAGTAACGTCTGATTACACCAGTTACACATCTGTTAGCTCTGAGTTGATGTCAAAGTTTGGTGACATATTAATAGCAATGGGTTTCTTGTTTTAGAATTACCTTGTGTTTGTAATATAAAATTGCTTTTAGCTGAGGAGCAAGGTGGCAGTCAGATCAAACCAGCCCACACCGTTAGCTGGAATCCTGTCCAGACTAACTCCGAACCGTACACCCTGGACCGAGGCTTACTGGCAGTGTGTGTTCTCCAGAATGCTGGCGTCCGACACTTAGACCGAATACGCAGGCCCTCCTAACCTGCCTCCTAACAGCTGGCACTCTGTCAGAATCGCTGTACCCCAGTTTTGTTGGATCCACTCAGCACTGTTTGTAGGGAGAAGCAGAAGCCCAGTGGGCGGAGCACCTGGAGGCCGAGGCGTGTGCAGCACAACGGTGCAGGCGGCACTCATTCCCTAACGCAGTCTTCCTCACTGTAAACAGTTCCAGAAATGTTTAAAAGCCTCATTTACAGTTAAGTGGTTATTTGTATAAACTTCAAGTTCTGCCCAAGTGAGAATTACCACTGAAGAAAAACAGTATTTAAATTTGCTTGAATAGCCCAGTTGGTTCTACAATGAATATGGAATAGTCTAATAATTACGTTAGCACCATGAACCTGAAGTAAGCTGTTCTACTAACCAAGAACAGGTACTGCTGCCCTTCAGAGCTGATGCCAAAACTTTTAGGCATAGAGTGGGCCAATTTTCAAATTATTTATAGTAAAAATGAAGGGTGTCACTGCACTTTGTCAGCATGGCCTTGTCCCCTGTCCCCGTCTCCTTGGGCCTGAAGAAGCCCAGCAGAGTGGCAGTGAAAGAGGCTTAGCACCAGGCTCACGTGGCAGCGGGCGCTCCCACAAGCGAAGAGCGCTACGGAGCGCAGGGCTCTCCCTGAACTGCCTCCCACCAGGCTCACCACCACTGGAGAGCTGGCATCCCACACCTGAGTGCCGCTCTGGGTCCCGGCTGCTCTTCGAATCCAGCTTCCTGCTAATGCACCTGGGAGGGCAGTGGAAGATGGTCCACATCCCCGGTCCCTGCCACCAGGCGGCGAGGCCCAGAGAGAGTGCCTGGCTCTGGCTTCAGCCTGGCCCAGCATCTGGGGAGTAAACCAGTGGGTGAAGATCTCTGTCTGCCTTTCAAATAAATCAATGTTTTAAAAAAGACGAACCAAACAAAAAACCCGCATCCCAACAAACATCCAAATTAAAGAAAAACCACTAGGAAGTAACACACGAGGAGCATAATCTAACATTTTTTTTTGGTTCAGTTTCACATTTAGTAAAAATTCAACAGCTCTTTGGAGAAATGTAAGGGGAAACAGCCGCTGCCGGCCAAGCCACTGGGCCGTGAGTGACATCGCTCCTGCGCCGCGCTCCGCGAGGCGTCACTGGTGCTCAGAAGGCCGCCAGCTCGCCCAGGAAGCCGCACAAGCCCCGGTTCAGGGTGGCTGTCGGGACTGGCACAGACAGGAAATCCCACACTAGAACAGACACTCAGATCACCAGTGCAAGGTCAGGGGCACACAATTTCCTTTTTTCCTTCAAGGAAAGCTTAAGTTGTCACTTTCGTGCTAAAAAAATTAAGCCCCACAACCACACACTGAACTCGAAACTCAAGAGACGGCTATCTCGAGAAGAGGACTCCCTGTCGTCAGCCCCTCCCCACGACACTGGTGGTCCTCAGCTGCAGGCAGAAGACCAGGAGATCGCCGGTCACAGAGGAGCCTGGCCATCTGTACGCACAGGTCACCCATGCTGTGCGTGCGGAAATGAACAGCGCGGGCAGTGCGCGGCCACTTCCCGGGGCTGTGGGCACCAGAACTCTGCTGCCACTCGGAAAGTTAGTGCCTTCCAGAAGCAGGGCTGCCCTTCCCGCTGCACAACCATGGCCACCTCTCGCCGGCCCTCACTCCCTGGGCACGCAGCACCACTCCCGCCTGCTCGCCCTCTGCCATCTCTGCCCCACTTCGCCGGCATCCCCCCCGCCCCCCCATCCTTACTCCAACAGGCACAGGTGCTCAGGACAAGACGTGCTCACTTCCAGTTGCTGGCATGGCCCTTTTGAACCTTGTTGAAGGGCAGTGCTAGGACTGCATTTTATTCCTGTCAGTTCATCATGGTAAGCCGGCAAGGCAGTGCCCTCTTCCCTCATGTACCAAGGAAAATTCATAGGGAAAAAAGCCTGGCGGCACCACACAGTCTCGTGTGCCACTGGGCGCTGCTTCCGGCCCCGCGCCCCGCACGGGCGTCTGTGAGGTCACTCACTGTGCTGGGACAGCCCTGCCCTGCTCCATCAGAACACCTGGGAACCTAGACAAGTCACAACCAGGCCGCAACCGGCAAAGGTCCCAGGAGCTCTAGTGCCTGCGGACGAACTTGTCAAACTCTGCTCTCCCCTGACAGCCCGCACTTACCCCCTTCCCTGTACGACATGCTGCAGCCCACGGCCACCCTGATGCGACTTCTGTCCAGAGCCCATTTTGTACTCATCTGTCTTACCACCCTTCCCCTTTCAGAGGGCGGTACACACAAAGGCTGGCATTTCAGGAGGTGATTTTGTTTGTCCCGACTCTGTCCTGCTGGGCATAGTCTAGGATACCCAACAGCAGCAGCCAGCTAAGGTGTGCACCAGTGACCAAGGACGCGCTGGGACGCAGCAGACCGGGGTTACTGTGTTGCACATTCTCATAGTGAATCAGAACATGGACCGTGACATGGGGCTGCTGACGCTGTGAGGCTTCGCAAAGCGGTGCTGGGAAGGAACCGAGCAGGGCTGCAGGCCTACGCCACGCATGTGCTGCACCCAAAGCCCCTCCTGAGAAAGGACCCGTGCACCTGCAGCAGCTGAGTTACACCATGGGTTTGCTTGTATGCACAACCACACGCACCCTGAAAACTTCCCTCCTGCTCTGTGCACCTGTTCTGGGAAGCTGAGAGGTTCTCCTGCATTAAAGTGCCCTTCACGTTCAGTAACGAAGCGTCAGCCACATCATTCTAAGCTCCGGCGATGGGGGAAACACAGCAGCCCTACAGCTCCACCAGCCACCTGGGGGCCTCTCCGAGCGAGGAACAGCACACTGCACACCTACTCCTCGGTTACATAATCCACAACATGCACAGAGAGGCCGCGCTCGGACAGACGCTTGCAAGAGACCTTCTATGTCAGTTAGTTTTTGGTCCAATCCGTATGACAGATCAAAGAAATCACAGGACAGCACACAGAGCCCCTTTCCATGCCTCTTCAAACCAAAATACACGAAACTCGCTTTTCAGACTAGGAGAGAAAAGAAAGAAATAGACTCTCTCTCAGCGCGCGCTATATACACATATGTATACATACATACATACACACAGAATCTATTTCTAGCCATGTGTGTGTGCGCGCACACATGCACAGCCGGACACTACCTGAATAACATCACACCAGGAGCCTCTGCACACCCGAGTCCACAGGCACGCAGTGAGCTGATTGTAGAACTGACTACGGCTACCAAGGACACGGAGTCCCACGGTGGCTACCAGTCTCTCGAGAGCTTGGTGCTCTGGTCTCTCTTGGGGGGCGCGGGAGGGGGTCCCCTCCGCAGGGTCGCATAGCCCGATATGTGGCTGCCTCCGTAGCCAGCCTTCTGTGGATCAGTCAGCAGCTCGGGGGGTGGCGGGGGCAAGGCCATGTCATCCATGGTGGCCGTGGGTTCTGCTCGGGACGCGCGGGAGGACGACAGTGAGCCGTGCCGGGTGACGGACTTCCTCTGCAGGGTCCTGTTGAGGTCGGCCAGGAAGGCGGGCTGCACGCTAAGGCTGGCCTTGGGCGAGGTGGGCACTTGGGGCAAGACCGCGGCCGTCGGGGGCGGCTCGGCGCCCTCGGCCTGCGTGAGGCGCGTGCTGTCGTTCCGCCTGGGCCGCGTGGGCGGAGGGGCCCGCTTGGCCGACGACTTGGCCCACGGCTGCGGCTGCGGCTGCGGGTTGACGACGGCCACTTTGGGCGAGGTGCTCCCCGAGAACACGGCGGGGATCTCTATCGGGGGCAGAGGCAGCTCAGTTTCGGGGGGAGGCGGCGGGAAGTCGGAGTCCGAGGGAGGGGACGGGAACTCCGCGGCCGAGTCTTTGCGCGCGCCCAGGGCCGGGGCTCTGGCGGGCGCGCCGCCCTGCTGCAGGGCCCCGGGAAGGTGCACCCCGGAGAGGTTGAGCTTCCCCGGCTTCGGGGGTGCTGCCGGAGGGCCCGGCTCCGCGGCCGAGGCGAACTTGCTGACCAGACTGTCCACTGAGGGCCGCTTGGGCTCGGGCGGCTCCGCGCCAGCGCCGGACTTAATGCTGGAGTTGCGCTGGGGGGTCGGGGGCGGCTTCTTCCCCCCGGGGCTGGAGGTCTTGCTGCTCTTCTTGCCCGGAGATCCGCTTCTGTCCGGGACGGGAGAGGCTGTGGGTGGCCCGGGTGGGGGCGGGGGCGGGGGCGGCGGCGGTGGGGCCGGGGTCTGGTGGGGGCGGGGGCGGCGGCGGGAACACCAGGCTGCTTTCCGGCGGGGGAGGCGGGAAGTCGGGAGAAGGGGCCGGGGCGGAGCTCGGCTGCCACTTAGGCTTTGCTTTCACTGCAGGGGGGGACTGTGGGGCTGCGGGCTTCGAGGGCTGGGGGTCCCCCGGGGGCGGGGGGAACTGGCTGGCCAGCTGCTTCACCACCGAGGGCGCGGGCGACAGTGGAGACGGAGGGGGCTTCACACAGAAGCTCTGCTGCTTGGGTAGTGTGGGAGGGGGCACCGGGCCCGGAGGGCCGGGCGGGCCGTGAAGCGCGGGGAAAGCTGGCTGCTTTTTGGCAGGGGGGACCGGCGGGGTGGGTGTAGGGGGCGCGGCCTGGGTGGCGGCGGGCGGCGCGCTGGTCTTGGCGCTGGTCGGTGGCGGGATGGTCACCTGGGGTTTGGGGGGTGCTTGAGGAGGGAGGGTCGCGGGGACGGCGGGAGCCGGTGGGGGCGTGGGAGGAGCTGCCTGAGTAACCTGTTGGACCTGATGGATCTTCAGTGGAGGCGGTGGGGGGCTGAACTGCGGGAGGGATGGGGTGCAGGGGGCCGGCTTGAGCTGGGCCATGGCCGAGCCGGGGGTTGGGGGTGGCGGAGGGGGAGGCGGTGGGGGGACAACGCCGCTGGGGGGCACCAGGACCTGAGGCTTGGCCGACTGCGAGGCCGGGGGAGGAGGCTTGAACAGGGGCCCCGAATGCTGAGCCGCGTTCTGCAGCCTCGTGATGGTGCTGTACTTGACAAACATGGTGGCGGCCGAGCCTGAAGACGACGCAGACTGGCTGGGGAGTGGGGGAGGCGGCGGGGGTGGAGGCGGTGGCGGGGGTGGCGGCGGCGGTGGGGGCGGCGGCAGAGGGGGCGAAGGCTGAGAAGCCGTGTAGGGGGTCACCATCTTGGGTTGTGGGGACGAAGGGGGCACAAGTGACGTGTAGGGCCGATTCACAGACTCCATTCTGGCCTAAAGGCGTTGGGGTGGGGGAGAGAACAAACAGAACTGTTACAGAGGAAGGCCTGGGTTGCCTGACCCTAAAAGGTCGGAGCACCTGGCGATCCGGAAGACAGACCGCGTGGGGAAGGCTAAGATCCGACTCCCTGCGCAGGAACCACGCAGAGATTCCGTTTTACCCCAAAAGTATTCGCAGACTGCCTCACACTCCGAGGTCACGCGGACGTCGGGCTGTGCTCGGTGCAGGCCCGCGTGGACAGCCTCTGAGCACCGCCCCTGCTGGGCTCCGGCTGGCTAGGGAGCTGTGCGGGCCCCCGGCAGGCAGGTAGGAGGAGGGGGAGAGGGCCGCGCCAGGCACCGAGATGGCTCCCGGACGCTAAGAACAGACAGCGCAGTGAGAATGCTCAGCAAGCGTGCACAGTCACACAGGGTGGAGGCGCTCAACACGCGCTGGTGGTCGGGGAGACACCCGCAGCCAACATGCACAGAAACCCAGCAAAGCCAGTAAAGGGCTGGGGCACAGTCTTCACGTTTGTTTTACTGGAAGATCCATGAAGGAATGCTCCGTAAACACTACAGCAACTGATCATGAAAGCGCATGGAAGAGGAGAGGAAACCCAGCCCGTGCGCCTCCGGTGCTGGGATGCACACGGCCGATCATGCAGGACTGTAACTCAAGCTCTTTCCAAGAGAAGGAAGGACGGACGGACCCCGGTTTAATAATTTCCAGTACATCTTTTAGGCTTTTAACAAACTTCGAGGATCCAAGATAAACCATTTGGTTTCAAGTAAGAATGGCATCTGATTAGCATGGAGAATGCTTGGGTTAGTGAACTAGAAGGCTCGTGATAGGGCTCAATTCTAATGCCCAACAGGACACTCAGGTTTCCCTTAAAAATTACACCTCAAGGTAGAAGTATTAGTCTGTAAAATCCAGATATAGGAGCCACCCAGGTTAATGTGTTTCCACAGAACAGCCCCTGACCTTAACTTGACCCTGTCTTGGCTGCTTCAGGGGTGCGGACCTTAGCTGCGCTGGCCTTCTCATTGGGCACCTGAGCCTGAGGTAACAGGGAAGAAACACAGGGGGATCAGGACACAAGCAAACGTCAGTGCTGCACACGCGGCAGCGCGTGCGCCTTCCCAGCTCCATGCGTGGACAGACCACGCTGAGCTCGGAGCATCTGGGTTTTTGTTGCCCTTGGCCTTACACGTACCAAGAACGTAGCTTCATGACTTAAAGTGCACACGGATCTCACCATGAATCATTCACTAAGGCAAAGAATTTTTCTGTAGTCAATTAGCAAATCAGCTTCTCCAGTGTGTACTTAGAATATCTGCTCCATCCAAACTGATTAAATGGGAGGAGGGAGAGAGAGCTATTTGTTAAAAGTCTGAGTCTCTGGTGAGGGAGTTGGACTGTCAGCACGCTGAGAATTCAGGTCATTAGAACCAGTTCTCAAATATTCGCTGCTGAGGGAACTGCAGCGGATGCCTGCCCACCCTCTCCAGGTAATCAACCTCTGTAGAACTAGAAAACACATTTATTTTAAGAAATAAATAAGTTTAAATGTCCATTTATATCTCTTTTGTAATTGTACTTCATGCGTAAGTGACTCAGACCAAATGAACAACAACAATCAAAATGATCCCTGGGAAAACCCCGAGACTGTCAGGCCAGAGGCAATGCTGGGCTCAGGATGAGGTGAGCGCGGCGTCATCAAGTGGGGGCTGCAGCAGGTCACACTGCCCACAGAACTAGAGGCTCTGCGGGCACTGCTCAAAGTTCAGGAAGAACAGATAAAAACCTGAAATCCGTGCATATGAGGAGTCTTCAAGAAGTTCACAGAAAATGTGTATTATGAAAAAACCACGTAAGGATTTCAGAATTTTCTTTGCTACATCATCTTTTCATTCTGTTTTTCCATGAACCTTCTGAAGTAGCCCTGACTGGACAGAGGACTACCATGTTTTTCAACTGCACTTTAAGAACCGCTGTGTTTTTCCAAATATTATCCACAGGCTTACAGTAAGTACACTCATCCTTCAGTGCCACTAAACAATCTACCTGCAAAGCTCAGGAATCCAACATCTAAGAGTACAGCAGAATCAGAGAAAATCCATCCATAAATGTCAAAAAGAAAAGGAAGATAAAGGATGGGTCTGAATATATTTAACTATGAATAAAAACTAGGTGTAAGCAGCTTCTCTGGAATGTATTTAGGTCACTGGTACTACTCATCCAAATAAAGGAGTTAAGCTGCCAGGGTTTGTTTAATTTTGCGATCTTAGGTCATTTCCAAGGGGCAGTCAGAGCAACAGGTCTCTGTGAAACAGTTCCACGTATTATCATCATGAAAACTGAAGATTAAAGATAACTGAAATAGGACCAAAACAAGATTCCGAATAAAGGAATAAGAGAGTAGGCAGCTAGCCCCAGGGAACAGGGCCGATGTTTCTATGTGAATTAGGCGGTGTGTTACCTTGCTGGACTCTTCCAGCTGAGTGCCTCGCTTCCAGGCTTCAGAGAAGATGGAGCTCACGGCGCTCTGGGAACGGACGTGTCCTGCGGGCTGGGTGTCCGAGACGCCACTATCAGACTGATTAGAGTGATTCGACTGAGACTCTGTTGACGACAGTTTCCAAAAAATGTAATTAAGTCCATCAGCATAATTGTAAAAGTATGAATATGGATGTGCAGAGCTTTTACAGAAAGCCAAATGCCATATACAATAGCAAGTTCATCTTAATCCACTCGTGATCAACCAGCCAGTATTTTCCACTAGAAAATGGGGAATCTTGGATTCTTTTTAAACAGTTCACCACCACAACTATAAAAGATTTACATTGTTGGTATCCTGACAACCCGTTTTTCATGAAATCAACTTCTAAAAAGTTAAAGATTATCTATGAACCATCAATGGGGGGGCGTTTTCAATCAGGTCCTCATTACGTGGAGAAACAGGCTATTTACTCTCCCTGCTCCAGGCCATCTCAGAACTATATCCAAAAGATTCAACTCATACACAGTAATTACATGTTTTTGATGAACAATATTTAGAATTTGAATTCCAAGTGAGAAATGTGTTTCCTGGAGACCCAGGTGTTGGTCCAGTAGGCCAGCAGGCATGCCATAGCCTGGCCCTCCAGTAAGGCACAGAAAGGTGTGAGCAGGGCCTGTGGGAAGGGCTGAGTGAATGGTGTGTCTCTTGACAGACAGACGGGCTAAGGGAACTGGCATGATTGTTTCCCTGGACTTCAGGTCAGGTCAAACAACCATGCAGATGCTCCTATCTCAATGCCCAGCATCTCGTGGAAACTCAGCTGTGAAAGGTGATCCCATTCAATCACTCTGTGATGGGTGAGTGTTACTGGATTGCAGTATTAACTAAGTTCAGCCCAGTTAGCCAGTAAAGTCAGATGCAACAGCCACAAAGAAATCCTAAACCCGAACTTCTCTGGATAAAGTTAAGAAAATCCTTTGAAAGAAAATGAAAGCCATGTGAAATAAAACCTCTCTTCTTTCTTGGTGGTTCAATAGCTGAGTAGTTTTGGAAAACCTACAACTTCACTAGCCTCATTTATCATCTCTATTTAGTATCTAGGACAACAGCCAAATAGGACAGGAGGCTGAACTCATAAACCCTTGAGCTCTCCTCAACATTAATATATTTGATTTTATGGTTTACATTAGCAAGTCTGCCCAACACGTCACAAAAAGTATATGAATGATGCTGGAGTGGGAAAAGGCATTGTGCCATTTCATAAAATGTGGAGGTACTTGAGTTGTTAAGTGCTATATATGTATGTATTTTAAATATTAATCTTTTCTCAAGCATCTATCCCTTAAATTTTGTTTTCTAAAATCCTGTCGATGGGGAGAGTGGTGCAGCAGGTAAGGACATCACTTGGGTAGCCCATGTCCCATGTTGGAGTGCCTGGTTCAAGTCCACAACACTGTTCCCAACTCCACGTCCTGCTGATGTGTACTTTGGGAGGCAACAAGTGATGGCTCACATAGGTGGGCCTCTGCCACGCGCAGGGAAGATCTGGGTGGAGCCCCAGCTCCTGCCTGTGGGCGTGTGGGGAATGAACCAGCACAAGGGCTATCGGTCTGTCTTGTCTCTGTGGATCTCTCTACCTCTCAAGTGGAAAACAACAATCACTATTTGAAATCCCACTTGCTACACCCTTGTCTTTTCAATCCATCTTCCTGAAGATACTTTTTCCATTTTAATAAAAGTGCAGTTTTAAATATTCACATATTAGATATTTGGTTATTAGAACAGCTTATTACTATGGTGTTGTCACAAATAAGGAGCTAATACTGGGTATGTTACTATTAACTCCATATGTTAGTCAGATTTCATCAGCTTTTTCCTAATGTTCTTTTTCTGACTCAGGATGCCACACCACAGTCAGTAGCATGTTTGGTATGACAGTTTGGCAAATGGTGAGAAACCAGGACCTCACTGTCCCTGGGATGTCACTGCTTCTTAGCCCCTCAGGGGACAGAACCAGGGTATACATGCAAGTATACATTAACCCAGGTATATGTACTTCTGAATTTGTTTTATATTTACTTGTTTATAAACAAGTCATATCTTGTTTTTAAACCAATACTATTTAATGTGATTTTTTTTCACTAAAAACATGCCAGAACAATAAAAATATTGCTTTTAGAGGATATGAATATTCAAGGAGCATTTAAAGGGAAAGAAGCATTAATCTTAACAGATGGTAACAGTATACTTGTTTAAATGATATGGAATCTGAAGATAAGCACCTTCTGAGTATCACTGATTTCCCGTGAGACTGTAAGAAAGTCTGATGTTAAGTGGCTTCCTGAACTGTGATACTGAATTAGTTCCATGAATCTCCTTCTACTGCAATGTCAGGAAGCCTGTGTGGTGGGAGGCCAGTTTCACCAGGGATTCTGACTCCCCAGAGCAATTTCTTTGACAGATTACACATTAATAGTTGTTTTTCAGCTGTTTGAGTTTTAATGAATTTTATTAATATAAATATCCCAAATTCCTGGATTTAGAAGTTTATATGCTGATTTTCCATTTCAAATTCATTTGTAACTACCCAAGATAATGTCCTCTCTAACAAATAAAAATTAAAAAAGCATCTGTTGATTAGGATTTAGAAATTAGGCATGGCTCTGGTTTCTAAGAATCCAGCTGAAATTATCAGGTCAACTATCAGTCCCTCAAGACTTTCATAATAAAAAAGTGAAGTGATGCTGCCAAGCATTTTGAACTACCTGGGATGCTGGAGGAACTGGATCCTGATTTGATGCTAGAGCTGGATAAGGAAGTCCAGTCATAAGCAGACTCTGTCCTCTTCAAGGCTTCTTGATAGTTCACGTAGAGCTGCTTCCCATACTAAAGTGAAGGCAGTGAATGATTATATCTGAACTCTGCTAGGTAGGTCTGACACAGAAGGATGAAGTGGGAGAGAGGGACACTTTGCGCTTACTGATTCATAGTTTGTAGTAAAATTAACACCAATAAGACTTCAAAACATCATTTAATATCAATAAATTATAATCTCTTATTTTTCCTCATTTTGAAAAAGGCAGTAAGAAGTCAACACTTGATTCTAATTTATATTCACTATAAACATTTTTTCATCCCAAATTCTCCATCATCAGCACTATTCAGGATACTGCTCCGAATTGGGTTGGTATATGATCATTATTCAAGTAGTCAATCAAAAAAATTTATTTTCCTCTGGCTAAATCCTGCTATGTTAGAATCATGTAGTACACTCCCCAAAGCCAAAATGAATCACTCTGATGCTATCCAAGCTTTTTTTTTTTTTTTTTGACAGGCAGAGTGGACAGTGAGAGAGAGAGACAGAGAGAGAAAGGTCTTCCTTTTGCCGCTGGTTCACCCTCCAATGGCCGCCGCTGCAGCCGGCGCACCGCGCTGATCCTGGCAGGAGCCAGGAGCCAGGTGCTTTTCCTGGTCTCCCATGGGGTGCAGGGCCCAAGCACCTGGGCCATCCTCCACTGCACTCCCTGGCCATAGCAGAGAGCTGGCCTGGAAGAGGGGCAACCGGGACAGAATCCGGCGCCCCGACCGGGACTAGAACCCGGTGTGCCGGCGCCGCAAGGTGGAGGATTAGCCTATTGAGCCACGGCGCCGGCTGCTATCCAAGCTTTTATCAACAGTATTATTCCACAGATACTAACTGTTGAAAGTTTAATCTATTAAGAAGGAAAAAAGGCAGCAAACATGAAACTTAGGCCTGAGAAAACTAGACACTAACAAAATAATGAACATGAAATAATCAGGGAAATGTAACAACAAGCAAAACTGTATCATTCAACACCTCTTAGTCCATCATCAAACCAAAGGGAAACTGACCTTGGCAATGCGAATTCCATTGACCCACTGATGCAGTGTCCTCACATCATCACAGCAAAGGTATTTGATATACTGAGATTTCTTCTGGATCTGTGGGTGCTACAGGATTAAGAGCAAAATCCAACTAAGTCCCTTGGAGAACTAAAGAAAAAATCTATCAAGGCTTAAACATATCTTTGCAAGTTCAAAGCTTATATATACCCTGGCAAATTAGAGTAATGGCCAATCTGTATTTCTTGTTTGGCCATAAGACCAAATAAAGTGTTTCTTAAGAATTTTTATGAAGTGAATGAGAAAGAAACATGCAAAATTTTAGATCAAGATATCCAAGTTACCTTCACATCATGGAAAATCCTCAAATATCTCTACATTTCAAAGAAATAAAGTCCATTAAGGTTGATAAAGTTCATAGAATTCTCAATATTTAAGACTATGAGTGTTTGATTTCACTTTGAACCTACTATGATGGGTTCAGAAAACTCCAAAAGACACAGGGTCTTTGGTAAAGCTTTCAGGGATTCTCTGGAGGTGAACACTGGGCATTTAGGACTAGAGCTTGTGGTCACTCAGACGAGTATGGCCTTGTAGGATCCTCTAACAACCAAACTTCAGGCCTGCAGCACGTGCCCACAGCAGAACAAGCAGCTTTTCAATGGCATCATCGTATTTAGTTTCCAGAACTCACTGTACTTTTCAGCTGCGGCTTGGAAGAGAGGTGGCTCACTTGACCATGGCTATAAAATGCATGTGTTAGGAACAGATTTAAGGTATTTTAACTTCACGGGGCTCAATCTTTGGAAGAAAAGCTTCATTCTGGATGTAATGACCTATGATTACCTTTCTTTTTAGTCACTCCGAAAAATTCTTAAATGTATATATTCTATTGTTAAAAAAACAGCAGCTTTAAAAGAATTTAGTTTTCACAAAATTCCACAACCACATTCATTTGTCATGAAAATCCTTATATTCTCAATACAACAGGAATAGATGGTCACCAATAAAAGTCACTAAAATTATCTGCATTATTACTGATCATTCATCTGGTCTACATTGAAAGGGAAAAAATGTAAATTCATTTATCCTATTCATTGCCTTGCAGAACTCAGCTCCTCTAATATAACACTTAGCACCAAAACTACTTGCTTGTTGAGGGAGATAGTCAAAGTCTTAAAGAATAAATCCCTATGGCTAACATTTTATGTAATAGCATAAAATTACATTTTATGTAATAGCATAGCCAAAATGAGACCTTAAATTATAATTTCACAGCTAGATTTACTTTACCATGGGCACAGTAAACAGGCAAATCCTCCGTTTCAGACCAAACAAAGGGAAAGTTTTCAAGTGCGGACATAGCATTCCTAATGGGCACTGTCTACCTCACAAAAACCCACTATCAGAACGTACCTGTGACTACAGACATCTAGTTTAGGCCTCCGAGATTAGAGATGGGATTTAAGCAGCCCCTTGACTTGCATCCTCTGGTCTGCTTTAACAAAAATCAGGAGGAGGAAGCTAGGCTGCAGAAGCAATGTAAAGATAGGTGGCAGGCCAATTAATGGCTGTCTCACACAGTGATCTGCCCTCAAAGAGACCCAACAGGCCAGTCCACTGCAGTGACTTTCAAGGTAGAAAGCTAGGGCTTCAGCAGAAGTCAGCTTAGGAAGAGCCCTGGCAGCTCTGCCAGCCAAGAGCTGGATCACTGGAAATGGACCTGCCCTGGAGTCGAAGGACGCTGCTGAGGGGATGGCCAAGTAGGGTCAGCAACACTGCAGGCAGAACTGTAAATTTCCTGTTAGAGAACTGTAAATTTCCTGTTAGAGAACTGTAAATTTCCTGTTGGAGATGCTGCCTGCATTCACCTGGCCAGCTAGGTAGTCGAAGTCAACCGGGTGCCTTCCCCAAGGAGGTTCACACCTCCCTTATGGTGTAACCATGTTAAGACATAGATAGGTCTGGGCCTCATAACTGGCAAGGCCTTAAAGCTCACTTAATTATTAACAGGCCCCTTCTGTCAGGTTCTGTTTGCCTCTCAATTGGAAAACTTATTCGTGTTTAGGGAGCAGCACTGTTAGGTTCCCCAATAATGACTCTGTCCTTTGTTCTAGACCCTGTCTAGCCCACTTGGGCCTCATTCCTTTGTAATCATAGCCTCTACTCTAACATCAATGGCTCTACTCCCGACCTGTGTGTATTGATGGTCCTCTCCCCCACTTAATGCTGTATGATTGTTCAGAATTTCTCTACAGACAAACCCCTCTACCTGCAAAAGATGAGTGGCTTTTCCCCTGGTCTTGGTTGGGATCAGCTTTAACCATGTCCATCAGAGACAGTCTTCACAAGGGTCCAGAGACTGCCCTCATTTCCTCTCCTCTATGAAATCTTCTCATTACTTGGTTAATGCCTCTCTTAGGATTCCATTTGCTAGTCTCACCCTGTCTTTTATACTACCATGTCTGGTAAAGTGTTTATAGAAGATGATAATGGAACGAACCAAGGCCTTCACCAACCAGGCGGTCAACCAAATGCTGCTACAGGGATATACTCAGTTCCCCACTCAGGAGACAGTGGCTTGAGACATCGCCCCATACCAGCAGGGAGTAGCTCTAAAGACAGGTCATTGTTCCTCTACTGCTCCTGGACTTTGGGGGCTAATGTAATCCCATACAAGGGAAATGCTAGTAAAATGGTCAAGTGTTGTTATCTATGGCACGATCTTCTATTTTATTTACTTGAAAAGCAGAGTTACAAACAGGGGTAGGGAGAGAGAGAAACAACTCTTCCATTCGTTGGTCTACTGCCCAAGTGGCCACAACAGTCGGGGCTGGGCCAGACAGAAGCTAGGAGCCAGGAGCTTCATCTCAATTTCCCATGTGGGTGCAGGGGCCCAAACACTTGGGCCACCTTCCGCTGCTTTTCCAGGCATATTAGCAGGGAGCTGAATGGAAAGCAGAGCAGCAAGGACTTGAACTGGCACCCAGTTAGCAGGTGGCACCTTAGCCTGTTGCACCATAGTGCCATTTTTTGAAAGACAGAAGGAGATAGAGACGGAGATCTTCCATCTGCTGGTTCACTCCCCAGATGCCGATAACAGCTGGGTCTGGGCTAGGTCAAAGCCAGGATCCAGAACTCAAATGAGGTCTCCCACATAGCTAGCAGGAATCCAAATACTTGGGCAATCCTCCTGCCTCCCAAGGCATGCATTAGCAGGAAGCTAGAATGGGAAATGGAGCTGGGACTCGAACTCAAGCATTCTGATAAGGGATGTGGGCATCCCAAGCAGCATCTTGCCCCTAGAAACCATTTTTGATGGAGGGGAATTCAGCTGCTGTAGAAACCCTGCCTGTGTGTGTGTGTGTGTGTGTGTATGCGCGTGCGCACGCACTCACTTCTATTCAGTCTCTACATAAAGAAGGTGCTTTGCTTTTAAAATCAACAAAACAAAAGGGGTAAACTAAGAGAACTTATCTCTATCCTTCTCTCCTCATCCCTTTAACCTGGGAATCCAGGTAATACCCTAAAGAGTACTATAATATAATTACTTGGTACTTTAAGTCACACATCAGATTACTTTCTAGTTTAAAGTATTTTTGGAACCTTCAAAATTCTTCATTCACATAATAAAGGCATTCCTAACTTTCCTTATGGTCATGCATGCTCTGTATCAGTACCTTAGAAGGTTGCCTATTCCGCTAATATGCTGTTATTTTTAGTATCAGTGGCATTTACTGAGCACTTACTATGGATCAGACACTATGTGAAATAGTCCAGAGCACTCCATCCCTGTGAAAACTCTGAGTTACATGGCATTGTCTCCACATTCTGAGAAGAAAGCAAGGCATGTGACAGCACTTAAAGTTGCTCTCAGTAAGTAAACAACTGGGATTTGAATCCAGGCAATTTCATTCCAAGGCCACAAACCTATTATGACACTGTACTTTTTCCCCCCAATATTATTAGGATAAAATCTTCCTCTGAATTTCCTGCTTCTGCATCTCTTTTCCCCACAGTATTATACTACCACTTCCAAAATCACACAAGGGCTAAGAGTAAGTATGGAAGAGACCTTCACTGCTAAAATCTAGAAGCCCAAAAGCAGATTCTTAAAAATCCCAATGAGAATATATAAAGAACCCTGGATTACTTCTGTGCTATCAGATTACTTTTCTCTGTTTATGCAAAAACTAGGGTTAGAGAGCTAACTCCCGTCACTAGAAGTGGTACTCTAAAACTACAGTCCAAAGAGAGAGTATGTATACTATACCTCAAAGGAGAACAAGTGAGTATGCATACTATCCCTATCACTTTGTACATATAGAACTTGAGAATTAATTCTTACACTGGCATATAAGAAGTTCAAAAATAAGACTAGTTATTCACCCTATTTCTTCCAGGATTATCACACACAGCATATTTCTATTAGAAGCAGTGCTTTAAAGTTCATTTCAGGAGCAAGCATGGGGGCACAGTGGGTTAAGCTGCTGCCTGTGCTGCCGGCATCCCAGAGTGCTGGTTAAGGTCCCAGCTGCTCCATTTCTGATGCAGCTCCCTGCTAGCATGCCTGGGAAAGCAATGGGCAATGGCTTCAGTACTTGGATCTCAGACACCCATATCGGAGACCTGGATGGAGTTCTAGGCTCCTGGTTTCCTGGCCCAGCCCTGGCTGTTGCAGTCATTTGGGGAGTGAGCCTATGGATGGAAGATCTGTCTTCTTCTACCTGTAGTTCTGCCTTTCAAATAAATAAATCTTTAAAAAAAATTCATACTCCTTCCCTAAGAGCAAACCACTTTTCCCTTTCTACCTACTATACTAAATTACTCTGCCTCATCTTTAAAAATTTACTACATAGAGAGGAGCAGGTGTTTGGTGCAGTGGTTAAGAGGCTACTTGGAGCCGGTGCCACGGCTCAATAGGCTAATCCTCTGCCTGCGGCACCGGCACACCGGGTTCTAGTCCCAGTTGGGGTGCCAGATTCTGTCCTGGTTGCCCCTCTTCTAGTCCAGCTCTCTGCTGTGGCCTGGGAGTGAAGTGGAGGATGGCCCAGGTTCTTGGGCCCTGCACCGCATGGGAGACCAGAAGCACCTGGCTCTTGGCTTCAGATCAGCGTAGTGCGCCGGCCACAGTGGCCATTGGATTGGAGGGTGAACCAATGGCAAAAGGAAGACCTTTCTCCCTGTCTCTCTCTCTCTCACTGTCCACTCTGCCTGTCCAAAAAAAAATCTTGGGACACCTGCATTCCATATTGGTGTGCCTGGGTTCCAGTCCTGGATGCTGCTTCTGATTGCAGCTTCCAAGTGATGGCTCAAGCACTTGGGTCCCCATCACCCACATTCGAGACCTGGGTTGAGTTCCTGGCTTTGGTGTGCCCAGCCCTGGCTATCACTTTTGAGCACTTGGAGAGTGAACTTTACCAAAAATATATATAACCAAACAAAAAATAAATACTTTAAAGGAGAGAGAGGAAAAGAGAGGCAAAAGCACAAAGACATACACACAAAGCACCCATCCACTGGTTCACTGCTCAAATGCCTCTAACGGCCACTACAAGGCCAGTTCAGAGCTGGGAGCCTGGAACTCAATCCAGGTATCATGCATAGGTGGCAGGGACTCGGTCACTTGCGCCATCACTACTTCTTCCCAGTCTGCAGGAAGTCAGCAGGTCAGGAAGCTCCAGGAAGCTGGACTCAGGCACCCTGATGTGGAATGCGGGTGTCTTAACTGCGAGGCTAAACACTCATCCTCCCAATTTCTTTTGCACCAAAATAAACTTCTTTTAATCTCATATTCCCATAATTTTAGAATATTTCTGAAACTTTATCAAATTCCATAAATAAACTTTTCCTACCATTATTATTAATCTTTTAGAAAATAAATTATCAACATTTTCTTTTTACAGTGTGTATATATTTCCCCTATCCTGCATTTCACTGGAAGACTCACACTGAGGCTGATAAAGTAGTTAAATTTGCATTAAACATTTTGCCACAGCATAATTTTATTTGTTGGAACTCACATGCTCAAGAATAATATTTACACAGGCAAAATCTAGTAAAGGCTTCACGGGAAAAAAGGAATGCCATTTTTATGTTTTATTTCCCATCTGCTGGTTCACTCCACAAATGCCTGTAACAGCCAGGATTGCACAAGGCCAAAGCCAACAGCCAAGAACTCGATCTGGATCTTCCACATGGGTAGCAGGGACCCAACCATGTCAGTCATCACTGGCTGCTTCCCAGGGTGAAATCCAGAAGAAATCTGGACTTGGAAGTGGAGCTGGAACTAGAATGCAGCCACTCTAACACTGGATGGGCGCATCCCAAAATGACACCAAATACTTACCCCAAGACATGTCTTTCAATCCTAACATTTGGGGGCCGGTGCTGTGGGGTAGCAGGTTAAACCAACCTCTGCAGTGCCAGTATCCCATCTGGACCCCTGTTCAAGTCCCAGCTGCTCCTCTTCTGATCCAGCTCCCTGCTGATGTACCCACGAGAGTAGCAGAAGATGGCCCACGTATTTGGGCCCCTGAACCCACGTGGGAGACCAAGAAGCGGCACTTGGCTCCTGGCTTCGGATCAGCCCAGCTCCAGCCATTGCAGCCATTTGGGGAGTGAACCAGAAGATGGAAGGTCTTTCTGTGTCACCCTCCCTCTCTCTTTCCTTGTAACTCTGCTTTTCAAACAAATAAATCCTAGTATTTGCATGGCTTTGGGCAGATGGATTCATCTACCTCAGTTTTCACACCTGGGAAGTAGGGACAGACTTGAGACCAATTTGTCTTAGTGTGCCTAGTGCAGGCCCATTACCTTAAAGTTCTTCAGTAAGTGGTAGCCATTATTTTTACTATTTCTATCTAGCAGTATGCTTTTCATTCTAATACAGTGAATATTTTTGATATAAAAATGAGTTTAGCTTCACTAAAAACAAATATGGAATGCAAAATTTATTACTATAAAATAAACAGAAGAAAAAAGGCTTAGCACAAAAATATTCTGAACCTGAGAATTCTGTAGTTGCCAAAGGGATTAAATAATAGTTTGGCCTGGTGGTTAAGACACCAGTTAGGATGCTTATGTCTCCATCAGAGTCCCTGGTCCAATATTCAGCTCTGGCTTCTGACCCCAGCTTCCTTCCTAATGTAGATCTAAGAAGGCAGTGATGACAAGTCAAGTAACTGAGTTTCTGCCATACATGTGGGAGAGCTGCCACACACGTGGGGATTGAGTTCCCAACTCGTAACTTCAGTCCAGCCTTGCCCTAACTGTTGCCAGCATTTGGAAAGTAAGGCAGCAGGTAGGATTATTCTCTGATTTAAAAAAATATGTAAATATGTAATATATTTATATAGTATATAAATTAAAATGTATTACACTTCTATAAATTAAAAAGTTAGTGATCATAATTAACATCGGTTGCAGCAGATGCTGTTGGTTGCCTTGCCTACAGCTATCTGCTCTTCCCTACATCTTTTCTGCCAGAACTGCACCCCTTCCCCAGCACCCCACACCCATGTCCTTCATGGGGCGAGTTCTGACTCATCTCAGCCAACCACAGTAACCTTGTTTTGAACATAGTGGATTAAGCAACTTTGTACTGACTTTTTAAAAATGATTTGCTCCCAGGGGTGGGCACAGCAGTTAAGTCACTACTTGGGATGCCTACACGCCCTGTCAGAGTACTTGGTTTGATTCCTGGCTCTATTCTTCTGTTATCTAGCTTCCTGCTGGTGCACAATCTGGAAAGCAACAGATGATGGCTCAAGTACTTGAGTCCTGCCACCCACATGAGAGGCCTAGATTGAGTTCCAGGCTCCTGGCTTTGGCCTGCCCAAGCCCTAGCTGTTTCAGGCATTTGGGGAAAAAACAAGTAGATGGAGGGTTCTGTTTCTCTGCTTTTCAATAAAAGAAAATAAATAAATATATGAATAATAAAATGTAAAAATGTTTTTAAAAAGTATTCATTCCTAAAAGTAACTGGAATGGTACAGCAGTATTTGCCAAGAAAGGATTATTTAATAAGAGGCTGACATAACAGTATGCCAGATTTTGTCAATCAAAATCTCACCTCCACATCCTAGACAAATGCTACGCTCCAAACCCAACTAACAATTCTCAAAGAAAAGTGAAATCAAATGTGATGACATAAACATGTAAAGCTAAGTAATTATCAAGGGGTTACTTTGATGGAACCAATAAGAAAAAATTATATCATTAATTTTCCCAAATTCTTATATGTTGTCTTTATCAATTTCCAATGATCATTAAACATAAACTAGAAATATCAGTTCTTCTCAAAAGAATAGCTACAATGTGTGAGATGCTCACAAGCTTGGATAAAGGAGAAAAAATAATCTCCCCCAAAACAGCTCAGATAGGTCATAATCCATGCATGAGATCTCATGGCTACGTTCAAGGAAAAAAGACAAAAATTATTTCTGGATGGATGAGACCCAGTCTCTTGGGTGCCCTCTGATGGTTATGCTGAGTAAGGACAGGAAGAAAAAAAAGTGTTCCACATTTGGCTCTAAGTTTTCCTAAAATAAGCCTGCTATTAAATGAATCTCAAATTTATAATGAACTTTATTTCACAGATTATGATTCAATGCTTACAACTCAACATGTACCACGTACCCACTCCTTATTAAATTAACCTAATTAAGGGCTCATTGGCTAAAGACCGGCTGTGGCATATGCTGCTTTTCCTTACCATCTTTCACTGCTCCTTTTTTAAAACCCACCAAGGAAAAATAGCATACTTGAGGGAGTTTTAAACTGTTCTAAGATGTGCAGTAAGCTTTGCTCTGTTTACCACCAATTAAAATTCCTAAAGAGATCTATGTTTACCTTCAGCACCAAACAGTAGTCTGTAGGTGCTTTGTACTTGTTCCGATAGTCCTGGCCATAATAAACATTGACGTGATCCAACTGGAGAAAGCACACCAGATCCCGAGAGACCTAAGATAAAACATCCGAAAGACTGAATGAACACTAATGCACAAACAAGCAAATGTCCTACCTGGTAACGGCTTCTAGTTCAGTATCAACTTCGCTAAGCAGAAATTGCTGCTATTTTGCAGAAGACAATGAGAGTCTCTGTAAACGCTTTTCTTTAGTGTGGAACGCAGCAAAAAAGGCAGTCCATTTCCCTTCATGTCTCGTCATTCATGATGAACACGAAATTGTTTGCAAATATTTGCATTTTAGAAACTTTAAATATGGCATAGTATATAAACTACAATAGTTTAATAAAGCTGTCTGTAAATAACAAGAAAATATCTCATTCAATTCCTATAAATTCATATCTCGAGTAGAGTGATTCTCAACTTAAAACAATATTCTGTGTGTGTTCTACATGAGTTGAACCAGATCATAACCTGGATTCGGCTTGCCAGCATGCAAACTGAAATTTAAAGGCAATTAGTGTTAACAAGAAAGTTTCAAAGCCAACTACAGAGGGACACACCTTTGCTTTTCCTTTGGGGACATAGTAGATACCAGATGCTCGTAAGAGGAAATAACGCTTTTTCCAGGACTTCTTGCCATCATCTTTCAACCACAGTACTCCTTCAATCTCTGGTACAGTTACAGAACTTCCACAAAAACATTCCTAAAATAACAAGATGATTTGCAAACACGTAATTCCTAGATTTGAAGAAAAAAGTTGTGCTTATCCCTACAAAATGGCTGGCCCTGTAATAATGGTTAATAAGGAAGTATCATGCTAATTTTATCTCAAATAGAACTTTCTATTCTAAATATGAATGTATTTTTGATCTAGTAAGGCAGTACTGTTTGTGAACCAGAAGACCACGCCTTCGTCATACCCGTGTGACCTCGTGCCCCTATTTGGCCACACCTGGGTGCCCATCACCAGTCAGGTTAATTAACCACCTTTGGAAGTGGGTTAAAAGCTTGGGTGTGTCTGTCCTGCCCTGTTTCCTAGCCTCTTGCCAGGAGGGGACTGTGCCATCCACCCTACGCTTCCTGGTGCTCAGTATGAACCCCTCTTTCAGATCCTATGCATCTTTTGCACTAAATAAATGCCTAAAACATTAAAAAACAAAAAAAAAAAAAGGCAGTACTAAGATGTTTACTAAGTAAAAATGTCTATCATAAGTTTAATAATGAATTCCTACCTATAAACATCATCAAGTGTTGTAAAACCTAACTTGAAATATGAATTGAATATAATATTACTTAAATGCATGTATAAACTATGGTTATGACAAATTTATTAAAATTATCAGGGCTAACATAAGCATTAAACTTTGTTTTCCTGTAAATTAATAATACATTTACATTAGCTGTCAGGCTGAATAGGAATATATTTTAAAACATGACTAACAATTTTAAAAATGATACAATGTTAAGATAAAGAAGGCAATTATTTTCAAACTATTTAATACAAGGTTGAAAGGAATATAAACAAACATACAATTCTGAATTCTATGATTATGCTTAGTTTAAAACACTAAAAAAAGAATCATGTATTTCTAAAAGGAAAAAAAAACCCTTACTAAACACTAACACAGAACACTCTGGGCCTCAACTAGTTTCTTTCTGCCCAAAGTACACAGAAAATTATGAATTTTAGAGGATTTTTACCTACTTATGGCTGTTATCAGTGTGAGAAACTAAATGCTGATCTTCATTTCTTTGGCTGTCCTGTTGTCTGTCAACTCAGGTTTTATTCAGAGTTTTAGGAATACTAACTTTGATTTATTTAAAATTAGCAAAAGCCAAAAATTCAATTATGTTTAAATTTATTAATCTTAAAAATAAGAAGAGCATCCAAAAAATGGTCATTATTTTAAAAATTTATTTGAATAATTTAAAGATAATGCTTAAAGTATTTGTAAACAGCTAATACACATTCAAATTCTTCTCTGGGTGGGCAGATAACAACACAACCACATCCTTCACAGCCCTTTCTCCCATCAGCAGTCCCTGAGCCTTACTCCTTGTTGGCCACTAGAATATCGCTAGGTAAAATAGCAGCTTTTAAGAAATTCTTCAGTGGCCTAATGTGTTCATACAAACAGTTAGTTCTCTTCCTCATGCTATCAAAGAAAATAGGCATTTCTATTTACAACTGTGACTACAAATACAGTTTTACAAGGCATACGGGAAATAAAATGGGGGTAGAGATCATACCTCCAACAGCACTTCTTTGTTTCTGTCTGCCATCTCAGCAGTTTCCTTTTTTCCCAGAAGATAATTCTGGAAAACAATGACATGAAAGTTAAAGGACAAACACACTGTATCACTTCCTTGGCACAGGCACCTGTATGATTTCTCGAGTCACTTCCAAGTTCACGGCTGCCAGTATTGCGTGAGGGGAACATTCTTTTGAAAAGCTCCATGAGTATGGGCACAAAACGTTCAACTCTATCCTTCTCCTTGCCTACATATTTGCCATGAATTGTTCCATAAACTTTCCTCTCACAAATCCCACGATGCCATTACACACAATGGCTAATGAGTCTGATAAGTATGTTTTGAGATATCTAACAAAAGCTACATTTAAAGGAGCTAGAAGGTTTCCAAATTACTAAGTACAACAAATAAGGCCAATTACCTTAAAACATGCTGAACTTAACTGACCAATTCATGTTCTGGGATTTAGATTCTCTGAGACTGTAATAATCTTATTTGCTTGATTAAACTAATACATGAATTCTAACCATTAGTATAATGATTTATAATTGTCTTAAAAAAAAATCTGTTGCTATACCCAAATATGTTTTCATCACTAACATACCCAGGAAAGCTGTATCACGATTAAGCCATATGAAAGATAATTACTCAATATTTTTAACACTTTTTTTCCTCAAGAAAAAAAAGTACATTTTACTGTGGAGTTCTTGTTTTTATCTACTAATTTTTATAAAGTATCTGGGTTTTGGGAAATACTAACTCAAACACTATTTTGGAATAAGGAAAGATGACAAATAAATCAAGGTAACATATTAGAATGTGCAACAATTTATAATCAAGGTTACTGGGATTTTTTTTTTTAAATCTCAGAAAAAAAAAAATCAAAGTATTGGTTGAATAAATGACTGAGCAAAGAAGTATTTTTATTTACTGAAATGAGAAATTCCCCGTATCAGGATGTGGGTTCACTACAACTCTACACTACAGAGCAGAACAACCTGAGCTGCTCTGCCCCTACACCGCTTCACTCCCTGTGCCTCTGCTGGCCTGGGGGCCTCTCTGAGGCCGGACACCCGGGCCTGAGATGACTCCACCTCAACAGTAGTAAATGCTCCTATGAGTCTTACAGCTATTTTGTTCCAACCTGGTGGTTGCCTGTCTTAACTCTATTAACTAAGCAATTATAGAATAAAATAAGACACACGTCTAAAAGTCCTGATCTCCATGTTATTCAGTCTTACCTGTGGGTTTTTGAAAAGGGCATATTTTTCTATACGCTCCATAAATATAAGTTTGTTTTGGCTATCTCTTGTCCAGTTAAGAAGATTTTCAACCAGGTTTTCATGGTCTTCAAAGATTCTCTCTGTCTCAAAATAAGATGTCAATATTTTGTTAGTATTCATCAAAATTGCATGAAAGACATGAAACCTTGTAAGGTAGTTCACATCAGGACCACAGAATCTTGACCCACAGCTCTTGGCCCTTACAGGTGATAAGGACACAGGGCCCCGTGATGTGAAGGGACCTGAGCCAGGCCACACGGATGAGATGGGTAAGAGTAAGGACTACACTCGGATCTTCTCACTTGTAGACTGTCCCTCCTCAGCCATTAGCCTATTCTCATTTCACCCTCAAAAATAAAACATATCAGTTGTATTTTATAAATTTTGGTATTAAGGATTTCCAGCAGTATTTAGTTCTGGGCATTTAGGACATTTCCAAGATTGTTCTTTGATTCGTGAGTGTCATTTAATTTTAAATATAGAAGTATTTCCTAATTTCCAAATTAGGAGTCAGAGAACACATCCTACATATTAAATATACATGGTTCTAGATGCTGGTTCCTTGAAAACTGATGATATGCTTTATATTTCCTCTGAAAGTCAAATGCTGATATAAAGACTAGCACAAATTGAAATAACCCTGTCTTTCGTAAATACCTCCCCATCTATGCAATTCTATGCAAAGGAATAAACATGTTGTTTCCTTTAAAATAATTTTTTGTTTTAGCCATTATAAAATCTGAAGTGAACTAGAAATAATCTTGTATCCAAGAAATTCTTAAAATAATTGAGAAAAAAAGGTAAAAATGCCACATTGTATAAGCTATTTTTACAAGAAAAAATATACAAAGAAGCCTCAAAATGTTTTTATCACTGTGAAAACTATTGGAATCACATGGAAATTAGAGCAATGAAGTTACTCACCCATTTGTAATTCAGACACGGTCTCCACCAGTGACCAGTCTAAACTATAACCACAGTGGGACTTGTCCATCAGGTTGTCCAGCACCTGTCTCACTGTCTGTCTCTCATCCACCATCATTGTTTTAGAACTGTCATCAGACATGTGGACTCTAATTACCAGCTACAATAGGTAAACAGGAAATTAAAAAACAAACCAAAATATATATTCTAGAAAAGGATTCTAATACCAAACAACATTTTAACTTGTGTTTTTAAATATAAATTAAAACACAAATAATGACCTTACTATTCAGTAACAAGAAAGATAGGTGATTTTACCCTAACTAAATCAAATGAAAGCCTGTGAGAGTCTGTACTAACAGGTAAGATTATAATGTTAAGACAATTTCCTCTTCATCGTTTAGAATTTAGAACCAGAAAGTTATTTAAAATGGATTTCACCCACAAAAACTACTCCATGTAAAAAATATACTACTAACAATAAATACATTCCCACCTCTCCCTGTCTTAGAAGAACATCACATAAACAAGGCGATTTTTAATAGACCCCTAAAACTACTACAAAGCCCAAACGAGGAAAAAGCCACACATCACCTTTTTCACTTGTGCCTCTTTAATTTTCTCTAGGGCAACTCTGATCTTCTCAGCTTTCACTTTTGCTGCCTGTTCTTCCTGTGGACACAAAGCATTTCAGATAAACGAATGCTAGCTAGGATGATAAGAATTATCTAACAAGTGGCTTTTTTTACCCATAAGGATGCTCCCAGCATTGAATTTTATTAAGAAGATAACTTCACATGCTTACATAGAGCACATTTTAAAAATAAACTGGTTTACAAAGTGAGAGCAAATATATTGTATAGAAAGGAGCATTTTTACAGATGTAGATGACTTACACATAGATATTTTACTATAAAATTAAATTCCATAAATTTGATTGTGTCAACCAGAAGCAGACTGACGCCAGGTTTTGGGGCAGGGGAAACAGGAGTTGCCCTCTGAGGGCCTGCCAATTTGTTACACCTGCAAGATCCCTCAGTTCGGAATCTACACTCCTTCCAAGGTACAAGCAAGTGTTTGCACACTACTGTTTTACTGTTTCATTGAAAATCACTGCTACATGAAGTATCCACAGCAAAAACAAAAACAAAACAGAAGCTACTTATCTGCTACTACTTGAAAGTCTTTAATATATAAAAATTGTAGAAATGTTCTCATTAGTATAACAATACAAATATAAGAGGCTACCTCAAAATCCCAAATTTACACTGCTTTGGAAAAATTACACAATACAATACTGTCAGTAAACTTAGGTTTCTATTAATTCATTCATGAGATTTTTAAATGATAACTGTAATTTTCCAAATAATGTAATTTCTAGTAACTTAGAAAATGAACAGTAATAAAAACCATAAAGAACTAAAAATACATTTAAGCCATTTGTCTTTTGTTTTTCTAAGATAGCAAATAGTACTCTAACAATAGTACTTACTTGTAATTTCCAGCAATAGGCCATAATATACTGTAGCATTAATCTCCAATTGAAAAAAAATTATGTAAGTAAACCTTCATTTATGAAGGATTATTTTCTATTTCTAAGCCATTGACTACTCCAGAAAATAGCTAAGAAAAACATAAACTGCAATCTTACATATTACTTCATTTAATGCCTTTCAAAAAAAAGGGCCAATTTTAGCCTCTCCTGATTGTGATAAAAACCATAATCCATGTATTTCTCTTCATTAAAATGCTAAAGTCTCCTGGACAAAAAACAAAAACTGAATTCATGTATTGGATTTACTCCATTTGCTTAAATCCTGTTGCCTTCTTGTTTATGAACCGCTTCTCCTTCCCAGCTCATGGCAAACTCAGTATTTACTACTCTGTGGAACACAGAAGAAAACAGTGGTTGGGGAAGGCACTGGGCTGGCTTGCCAGAAACCTGATCTCTTTCAATGAAAGCAGCTAGTAAATTAACATAATAACCAGAGTCTGGAAATACTACCTGTAAACCCAATTAGCAGAGAATAAAGAATTTTATTTTAACAATGGAGAAGGGAAGACTCATTTCTAATACTATTATATATTCCTTAAAGAGTAAATTACCTTATCTGCTTCCAATTCCTTATACAAATAAATAAATGGCAGAACTATAACAGTGATTACATCTTTTTTTTTTACATCTTAACATAAAATTTTTTCTATAAAGGCTATGTGTCTTAGAGAAACAAAATAATTATTCTGTAAATTACCAAATCTTATATCTACCTTTGATGTACAAAACACTATTCTAAAAGGATCCAAAATATTTTCAACTGTTAAGTAACTGACTCATGAAAACTACTGGAAAGCATTTTCTACTGGCATAAAAGGCTGTTAAAGAGAAAGAAAATTTATCAAGATGTATTTGCAAATTTCACTTTTCTGTCCCTGAGAAGCAAAGTTCAAGTCTGATGAGGAAAAATGGACACTTGGAATTAATGCTTTGTTTATTTGGTATACAAACATGAATTTCTGAATGGACATAAAAAATGTTTAGAAGATGTCCTCAAAGCTGAAAACATTTTACAAAATACAGAATATTGGCATTGTAGTGAAGTGGGTAAAGCCGACTGCAATGCTGGCATGCCACACTTCCAATTGAGCTCCCTGCTGATAGCCAGGAAAACAGCAGAGTCCAAGTGCTGGGTTCTTGGCACCCATGTGGCGGAGCCAGAAGAAGCTCCCGGCTCCTGGCTTTGGCCTGGCCCAGGCTTGGTTGTTGTTGCCCTCTGGAAAGTGAACCAGGGGATTGAAGATCTCTCTCTCTCTCTTTCAAATAAATAAATAAATCTTAAAAATTTAAACAAAAAAGGGGACTATTTAAGAGAATGAGAAGACAAGTCACAGACCTGAAGAAAACATTTCTAAAAGATGTATCTGATAAAGGACTTGTGGAAAATGTACAAAGAACTCCCAAAAACTCAAGAAAACTGGGGCCAGCGCTGTGGTTAAACCTCTGTGTGTGGGTGCCTGTTAGAGTCTTGGCTGCTCCACTTCTGATGCAGCTCCCTGCTAATGGCCTGGGAAAGCAGTAGAAGATGGCCCAAGTGCTTTGGTCTCTGCAGTCACATGGGAGACTGGGAAGAAGATCCTGGCGCCTGGCTTCAGATCAGCTCAGCTCTGGCCATTGCAGACATCTGGGGAGTGAACCAGCAGATGGAAGACCTTTCTGTCTCTCTGTAACTCTGCCTATCAAATAAATAAATCTTAAAAAACAACAAAACAAAAAAATAAAAACTCAAGAAAATGAACAGTTCAATTGGAAAAATGAACAAATAACCCAGACACCTCAGCAAAGAAGATATACAGGTGGCAAATAAGCACGTGAAAAGATGCTCAACATTATCTGTCATTAGAGAACTGCAAATTAAAACAAGATGCCAAGCACTATACACCTATCAGAATGGCCAAAATCCAAACACTGACAAACATCCTCACCAACTGCTAGGACAACAGGGATGTACCCATTGTCAGTGGAAATGCAAAATGTAAAAAGGTATAGTCACTTTGTAAGTCACTTTGGCAGTTTCTTACAAAATTAACATTCTTTTACCATATGAGCTGGTAATCGTTCTCCTTGATATTTACTTGAATGAGTAGAAAACACAAAAACCTGTGCACAGACGTTTATAGAAAGAAGCTTTACTCGTAGCTGCCCAAACTTGGAAGCAACCAAGATGTCCTCCCATAAATGATCAGATAAACCAATGGTGGTGCTTCCTGACAGCGGAACGTAATTCAATAGTAAAAAGAGGGAAGTTATCAAGACACAAAGACATGGAGGAACCTCAAAATACATATTACCAAGTCAAAGAAATCAATCTAAAAAAAAAAAAAGCTACATACTTATTTCTAACTATATGATACTCTGGAAAAATCAAAACCACAAAGATAGTAAAAAGATTGGTTGTTAAAAAAAAAAAAACAAATCAGTTGCCAGGGGTTAAGGTGGAACGAAGGAAGAACAGGAAGAGTACTCAGGATTTTGAAGGCAGTGAAACGATCCTGTACACTACATGGTTTACACTTGTGAAAGGCCAACAAGGGAGAACTCTAAGGTAATTTATGGACTCTGGGTGGCAATGATGTGTGGCTGTAGTCTGAACAAGTGCAGCAAATATGGGAACCACTGTGGTACAGGTTCCCCATGTAAGGTAAGGGTAAAAGTGTTTGTGTGCGCGTGCATGTATGGAGAGGTGAGCAGTGCTCAGCACTGCCTTGAATCTAAAACTGCTCTAAAAAATAGTTAACTAAAAAATAGGAGGGGCAGGCCAGTGCCATGGCTCACTTGGTTAATTCTCTGCCTGCGGCGCCGGCATCCCATATGAATGCCATATGGGTGCCAGGTTCTAGTCCCAGCTGCTCCTCTTCCAGTCCAGCTCTCTGCTGTGGCCCGGGAGGTTAGTGGGGGATGGCCCAAGTGCTTGGGCCCCTGCACCCGCATGGGGGACCAGGAGGAAGCACCTGGCTTCTGGCTTCGGATCGGCTTCGTAGCAGCCATTAAGGGGGTGAACCAACGGAAGGAAGACCTTTCTCTCTCTGGCTCTCATTGTCCAACTCTGCCTGTCAAACATAAACAACAACAACAAAAAACCAGGAGAGGCAAGCACTGTGTAGAGCCACAGCTTGCAGTGCCAGCATCCCAGATGGGCGCCAGGCTGCTCCACCTCCAATCCAGCTCTCTGTTATGGCCTGCAAAGCAGTAAAGGATGGCCCAAGTCCTTGGGCCCCTGTACCCACGTGGGAGACCTGGAGGAAGCTCCTGGCTTCAGACTGTCCCAGCTCCAACTGTTACAGCCACTTGGGGAGTGAACCAGTAGATGGAGGACATCTCTCTCTGCCTCTGTGTAACTCTGCCTTTCAAATAAATAAATATTTTTTAAAAAAGGGGGGGATATAAAAATTTAAACATCACATTGATATTGCTTATAAATATGAAAATATTTCATACTTCCATTTCAATTTGTCAAATACAATAGAATATAACCAGTGCTATTTTTTAAGCACTGACATAAAAAGTCATTTAATTCAAAGATCACTTTCTATTCCATATACTGGAAGTAAAGATTAAATAGACAAGAGTCTTGAGCAATCAGTTAACATATTAAACAAATTATATTTCCTAACAATAAGAATAAAGCACTTAGGTGGGGCTATTTTATCAAACCTAAATTTAGCTACTGAGTTGCTCAAAATGCAACTCTTTAATAGTTATATATACTGACCTGTGTTAAAACATTATCAAATCCAAATTTAAGAACTACTTGTTTAATTTCAACACAGGCAAATTTTAGTTAATTCTTCTCCAGTTTATCACAAGGATAATCCTCACTAGAAATTTTTTGAGGAGCCAATAGATCATAAGGCCTTTGGAACAAAACTAGACATGAAAATATGTGTATCACACTACAGGATTAATATTATTTTATGCTTCCTATGGGTGACAAACTCTTTCTCAGTGAGTTCTATTTGCATATGGTATAGTTGGCCATAGCCATGTCTTTTAACCCTAACAACATGAGGAGAAAAAAGAAACCATCTTAAGCTCTTACAGAATGCTATGCAATACAGGAGAGATCAATAAATCTTTGTTGATATGTTTGGATGATAGAAGACTTCCAACAGTTTAT